ATTTAAAGATGTCCTGGAGGTTCCTAAGCCTCTCCTCATTTCTTTGAATTCTTGTTTCTTCATTCTTTTCTGGTTGAATGATTCTTTCTTCCTTCTGGTTCACACCATTGATTTAAGTCCCAGTTCCCTTCCCATCACTGTTGGTTCCCTGTACATTTTCCTTTATTTCACTTAGCATAGCCTTCATTTGTTCATCTAATCTGCGACCAAATTCAACCAATTCTGTGAGCATCCTGATGGCCAGTGTTTTGAACTGTGCATCTGATAGGCTGGCTGTCTCTTCGTCGCTTAGTTATATTTTTTCTGGAGCTTTGATCTGTTCTTTCCTTTGGGCCATTTTTTTGTCTTGACGCACCTGTTACATATTAAGGGGCAGAGCTTTAGGTATTCACCAGGATGGGGTAATCCACGTCACTGGGTTGTGACACTGTATATGAAGGAGGGGTTCGAGTTGGAACAGTGGCACTTGCTCTGCTCTCTGCCAGTTTTCAGTCCCCTCTGCCACTTCCCACAATCAAATTGGGCCTTTCTAGGGCAGATGCCCCAGTGGGCGGGCTTGTGTATGTTCTAACACCCTGTGGGTCTCTCCAACAAACTCTCCTGTGAAGCTGGAAGTTTCTCCCACTGCTGCCTCAATGCCCACCTGTGTTTTCAATCAGAGGTTTGAGGCATTATTTCTCTGCGCTGGGGCCTTGGGTTGTGTGGTCCGCCTCGCTCCCCAGCTGTTCCTCCTGGTTTATCTGCATGTGAATGTGGGACAGCCTGCTCCGCCAGTTGCTGTCTCGCCAAGTCCGCCAGCTGCAGCCTTGCCTGCCCCAGTCCTCCAGCCACAGCCTTGCTGTGAGTCCTCTATGCCCGGCTGCCCATCTCGGCCCCTCCTACCGGTCTGGATGAGTGTTTCTTCTTTAACTCCTTAGTTGTTGAACTTCCATACAGTTCAATTTTCTGTTTGTTTTTTGTTTTTAAATCATTGTTGTCCTTCTTTTGGTTGTGCGAGGAGGCACAGTATGTCTACTTATGCCCCCATCTTGGCTGGAAGTCCTCCTTTTTTTTTCCCTTCATTCTCAGGTTCCAGGTAATGATCTCTGGCAGGCTTTGTTCAATACCCAAGCTTAGTTCATTCCTAGTACTAGAGATCCTGGAATTAGCTATTGTTGGGTAATTTCAAATCATGTATCTATTTTTGAGCCAGTTACTGTGGCTGACGGTTTGGAGTATGCCAATTGGCAAGGCTCATCTTAGATTGATGAGGTAGCCAGCTTCCAAGATGGACCCCAATGACCTTGTCTCCTGATATTCATGGTCCTGTACAGTGCCCTCCCACGTGAAACCAAAGCTAGTCGTGGAGGCATTGCTGCTTTTGCTTTGATCTCTTGGATTCCTCTCTCTGAAGCCAGGGGCCATGTTATGAGGATATTCAAGCAGCCCCCCATTTTTTTACTTTAAAATATGCAGTTTTTCTCCAATAATACATTATTAAGACAGAAAACACAAAAATCCACCATGGAAAACAACAGCAGAAGGCCCTCGATCCCAGTGCGTGGAGAAAACTGCTGTTCGTCTTTGTGGCTCTAAGGAGCCAGAGGTGGTGAGGCCACTGTCTGAGCCAGTGCACCCAGCATGCAAGACTTCCCCAGAAATAAGGGAAGCCTGCAGCCAAAGAGCACACGTAACAGTGCAATAGGACAAAGCTAAAGTCTCATCCTTCAACAACTGGTTTTTTCTTTTCATTCCTAACCCACAGAAACCATGTGTGATAATAAATGATTAATGGAAGCCACATAGTGGCTTTTTAATTTAGTTTCAGTTGGACATATGTTAGCTCAGACAAGGGTGTCTCCTTTAGAAGGTCACATTCCTCATTAATCTCTTCAGGCAAAGGAGAGAAAAAACAGATGAAAGAAATATAAGAGTTAACCCTCCAACTGATGGAGAGTATTCTTCCTCTTCTGCTCCCTCCTTCCCTTCCTCTTTTCTAAAATTTCTTGAGCACCTACTATGCGCGTGGCACTGTTTTAAGCCACTGAGTTTGGGGGTAATTTGTTGCACGGGAGTAGATAACTAATACAATTGCATATGCCTCAACTCTGGTTAAGGGGTCAATCCTACTCCAAGTGGACTGGAAGTAGGATTACTCTGAGGAGTAATCAAGTTGCCATTAGTGGAGAAACCAACGGCTGCCCCATGCACACACACTTCCTGGAGGATTTAAAAACAAAGGTAGTACAGATTCATTTTAGGTGACTCACAGCATCTGGGCCAGGCAGGACTCAGGCCCACATATTCCTAGGCAGATTTCCTAACTCCAACTATTGACAGTTTTTCTCCCTAATTGTCCCTAGACTTGATTGGTTATAAGCACCACAGACACTTGCCTCCTTTACCAACACACCTGTATTTGCTCTTTAAGTAAGTTAGTTGTTGTTTTTCTTTTAATGTAGAGAATAGAGGCCCAGAAATCCCTCCATACTTGTGACTAATGTATGGTTTAAAGCTTCTCCTATTAAAGTGACTTTTTAATTTAATTCCAGTTGGACATATGTTAGCTCAGACAATGATGCTTCTTTTGGAAGTTCACATTGCTTATTAATCTCTTCAGGCAAAAAAAAAAATTAAAGAGATATGAGTTCATACTACAACTAACAGGAAGTCCCCTTCCTCTCTCCCTTCTTCCTTCTTTGGTTTCCTTCTTTCCTTCCTCCCTTGGTTTCCTTCTTTCTTCCTTCCTTCCTCCTCTCCACCAAAATTTCTTGAGCACCTACTACAGGCATGGCATTGTCTATGCTCTCTCATTAAGCCTCCTAATAATGATGAAGCAGGTATTGATGATCCCTTTTATCAGGCGAGGAAACTGAGACATGTCTGAAGAAGGTAGATGTTTTGTTTTTTTTTGGCAGTCATGTTATTTAGTTCCAAAACCTCAGTGATATTAATACCCATAGGGAAAAACAAAGCTGATCCATACATTTTTGTCAGGGTCCTATTTTAACTTTTCTCTATACCAATGGCTGCTACACATGATTTCCTTCCAACCAATCACTAAGATGCAGATTATATTTTCTGCACACCCAATGTGTATAGTGCCAGAGAAAAAGGGAGAGAGGGAGTGAGTTAGAGTTTCTGGTGCTTTTCTGTCCCTTCCATATCATTGGATGATCAGGTTTCTTTAAAAAAAAAAACCAACAGCAGTAATGGGAAGTAGTCACTGTTCTGGGACAGCTTACAGCATCTGGCTCAAGAATTCTTCCTGCACTTGAGGACTCCCTAATCTGCCTCATGGAGAATGGGCAGACGCTTGGCATGTAAGTTATAAGACCAAGCTCTGGAGCCAGACAGAGCTGGGTTCAAATCCCCACACTACTTACTCACAAGCCCTGTGACCCAGTCTAGTCCCTAAACCTCACTACAGAATGGCATACTAATAGTTTATACCTCTATAAAGCTTGTACAGGATCAAGGAGATAATACATCTAAAATATTTTTTCCAGTCCCTAGAATGGAGGAAAGGCCTGACAAATGTAGTCACTACTATCATGATTGGGCCATATCCCTCTGTACCCCTACTTCCTCTGTTGAAGTACGGGGGTCAGTGAGCATTCTCTAAGTACCTGTGGCAGGCAGATACTCAGATGTCCCCCAGAGACTGCCACCACCTAGAATTCATGGCCTTGTGTGAGTCCCCTCTGCACAATGTGGGCAAGACCTGTGATTTGCTTATAACAAATAAAACATGGTGAGATGATCCCACTTTCATGATTAGGATACATGAGATTGTGACTTCTGTCTCATTAGCAGACTCTCCCTATTGTCTACTCAGCTGGCATGCTTTGACGAGGCAGGCTGCCATATAGAAGCCCATGCAAAAAGCTGAGGGCAGCCTTTGGCCAAAATCCAGCTAGGAATGGAGGCCCTCCGTCAAATAACACTGAAGAACTGAATTTGTCTATCAGCCACATGAGCTTGGAAGAAGATGTTTGCCAAATGAGCCCTCAGATGAGACTCTAGCCCTGGGTGATACCTCAGTTTGCAGCCTTGTGGGGCACCCTGATGCAGAGCAGCTAGCTAAGCCATGCCTAGATTCCTGACCCACAGAAAATGTGAATTAATAGATGTGCATTGTCATAAGCCACAAAGTCTGTGGTAATCTGTTAGGCAGCAATGCATAACTCATACAGGATCCAACTTCATTTCTGATTCAGAGCCCACCTCCCCTGATTCCTCAGCATCGTGCATTTTTCTCATTGCCTCATAGCTATTGGTTTTCTTGCCTTTTAAGCTCCTTGAGGCTTTGTGCTTGTCATTCCTTGTAGCCCTAGTACAGACAGCAGGCCCTGGCACTAGGAGGGCACTGAATAATATTTCATGACCCCCCAGGGCTAGGTTTGTGTGCCCTATTAAGGGTTTCCATAACACCCTCGTGATAATGATGGTGGTGGCTTTTAAATCCTTACTGTGTGCCAGGCACTGAGATGAAGCCAGAGATGTGTATTTTTAACTAGCTTTCTGTGGTGATTCTGATTCACAGCCAGGCTACGCCACTTGAAAGAGTCTGTGGAAAAAAATCATTCTGTTCTTAAGACAGTTATATACATAGCCTCCCTGATTTTTAAAAAATCATTTTGTATTGCATACATACAGAAAAAAAAACGCATTTAATTTGATGACTTTTCCAATGAGACACATCTATGTTACTACCCCAAGATGAGGACAGGGACTCTCCCGACTTGTGTTTCCACCGCCATTCACCAGCCCCAGAGGTAACCGTCATCCTTATCCCATCACTACTCACTAGCTTTTCCTGCTCTAGAACTTCCTATAAATCTGTACTACCTCATCTGCTTTCTCTTGCTCAGTATCATGTTTATACTTTTGACTTGTTAACATTCTTCAGGATTAAACTGGTAAAACTATGGTTGAGAAGGTTAGGAAGGAGGTGGGAGAAGCCGAGTATTATACTTGGATTTTCCAAGAGACCGAATCACAACCTGTTCTCGACTTACCTTGCACCCACTCTGCTGAAAGCATGTAGGGAGACAGAAGGGGACAGGGGCGTGGTTACAGCCAGGCGGGTTCCCTGGGGGGCGGAGTCTTAGGGGTAGGGGTGTGGCCCGGCTACCAGGCGGCAGTTGGCGGACGGGCGGGCGGCCAGGGGCGAGGTGGGGGGGGCCAGGCCGAGGCTTCCTGTCAGTGCCGGCGGAATCGCTGTTTGACCCCGGAAGTGCTTTTTGGAAGCTGTCACCGTGGACCGCGGTGGCTGCTGCCGCGGCACATCCCCTGTAGTAGAGCCGCCGAGGTGAGTGTGTGGCTGGGCCCTGTCGGATGCCGGGCACCGAGCCTGGGCGAGGCCGCGGCTGAGCCTCAGACAGCCTTGGGACTCTCCGCCTCCACAACGGGGCCAAAGCTATGCTGCCCTAGGGGTCTGAGTCTCCCCCATACCCATAAGAGGCCAGAAGTTTTGGGTTCGAGGCTCAGCCCCAGAGTGACCTGAACAAATCACGGTCCCCGCATTCTCATCCCGAGGTTAGAGGACCGTGAATTGTTCAGTTTCCTCGGGGTTCATCCATTAGTACAACAATTACTAGTATCTAATTTCTCCTTCGTGCCAGGCACTGGGATACAAATGGAACAAGACAGGCTAGTCTCCTGCCCTCGTGGAGTGTACAAACTAGTGGGAGGAGTCAGTCAATGAAAAATAAATGCCCAAGATAATTAAAGATATGACGGTAACTGGAGGAGTGAATACTTTAGAGAGGACAGTCTGGTAGTCTCTGAGTAGGGTAATATGGAGACCAGAAAGGTATTAACAGCCAGAGAAACTGAGGCAGCAGTAGCCCTGGGGATGTGCACAGGCCTTATTGTAGTTGATAATTGCACTCAGCTCCCTTTCTAAAGAAAGCCTTTTCCGAATTTTTGGCTCTGTTGTCCTGCATGTCACTGGGGTTGCAGTGGTGGGCACAGACATTGTCATGATCATTATCCTTATCCTTTTGGAGCTTAAAGTTTATATTCTTTGTCTGGTTAATGTCTGCCCATACCTTGGATGAAAACTCATATCTTCCTTGACAGTCTTCCTTTGTCAAGTCAGTTCTCTCTGTCATAGCTCCATGGGCCTTACCAAAATAACATATGGTACATCATGGTGTTGAGTTTTACTTGTTGTGTGGCCATTTGATTCAGAGCTGTCTTTCCCTTAAAACTGTAAGTTCTATGGAGGGCAGGACCAGGTCTGTTATTTACGTACTCTAGTGTTCTCTGGGCTTCCGTGCCTGGATAAGAGGTGCTCAGAAATATTTGAGTGGATAAGTGAGGTGCTTAACATAGTCTTTGCTCTCCAATGGTTCCTACGAGGTCTTCTTGCCACCAGGTTATTGTCTTCTCTTCCTGTAGTGACTCTCTTCTACTTAAATGGCTCCTCACTGCCTTCAGGTGAAAGGCCAAAATCTGTAGCATAGCATTCAAGGCTTTTCAAAAAAACTGGCCCCATCTTTTCTATCCAACATCTCTCTACTTCTGTCATCTACTCCCTGACCTTGTATCTTCAGCTATACTAATGTCTTCCTCTTTCTTCAAAGCCACAGGCTCTGAGCTTTGCTCATGCTTGCTCTTTGCTTGGAAGGCCCTTTTTTTCTCATCTTCTTCTACTATCCTTCAACAACCATGTTATAGGTCATTTTCTCTGTGACAGTCTCCCTTTCTCTGCTATGCTTGTTTTGGAAATTTCCTGTTATAGCTCTAATCATACCAAATGATAGTCATTTACTTGTCCAGGACCCAGAAGGTATTCAGTGTTTGCCGAGTAAATGTGGAAACTCTGCCTATTGTTGGGATTTGAACAATAACAAGTAAACTTTATTGAGTGCTTATTATGTACCAGGTCCTGTGTTGAACACGTAGTGTTCAACTAAGTGTTGATGTGAGATTACTTCTTATATCAGCCATGAGGGATTATGTACTATTATCATCCCAATTTTACAGATGAGGAAGTCAAAGTTTAGAGAGGTTAAGGAACTACCTCAAGGTCTCAACATAGATAAAGGAAAGTAGAACCAGTATTTGAACCCAGGCTATTGAACTGTAAAGCTGTCTTTCAACTACCACACTAGCTTGGGTCTGAACTGCCCTTACAGGTACTGGCTTGTAGGAGTGGATTTTTTCTGAAAGTAGGTTCTGTCATTACCTGTCTAAGCGTGGACTCTGGGGCCTAGAATTTAAAGGGTGGAGATCTGCTTCTTCCTACGATTCTTTCTCCAAGCTAGGTCCCCACACTGGACATTCTCACTACTGTCTTTGGAAGGTAAGCACAGAAAGAACTGGGCCTGTGAGTCATTTGGACTTCTACAATGGTGAGAAGACCACTGATGTTTTCACCTGCCCTCCCAGCATCACTGGGGGTAGGGGTAGGGTTAGGAAAGAAGTATTTTCTAATATGTTTAGCACAAGAGACCCTGGTGCCAAGGCAGAATTGCTGCGCTTCAGTTTCATCTTGGCCTCTAGTGTATTTGCCCTGAGCACATCGGAGCCTCTCTTTGGACATATGAGCATAATAATCTTTGTCATCCTTAGCTGGGTTGTTATGAGAGGCTTGTAAGATACTAACTCAGTTAGAAATAATGTACATGCAATGGAGGACATTAGCAATGTTTTGTGAAGCTGAAAGAGTAAAACTCACTCCAAGCCCCTTTTATTATTTTGCCTTGTGATTTTTTAGGCCACCTCACGTGTCCAGGGACAGTGTGTCTGATCCACTGAGATTCTAGAGCTGGAATAGACCTCGAAGACCAGACAAACTGGTCCTCCCTCTTTATATTCCTCTAGGATATCATCATAGTCTTTAAAACAGCCCATGAACCAAGCAAGATTTCTTGTGTACCAAGCTGCTTCCCACCTCCTTCGTTTTGCTCTTGCTGTTTCATCTGCCTGGATCACTCTTCTTTCCTGGCCAGTGTGCCATCTCATCAAGACAACTCAGGCTTTCCTGATCCTTTAGACCCTCCTCTAGAAATGCTTTCCTGAGAGTCCCCACAAGCTCAACTATAGAGGACACTCAGCACAGTTAATGGTTAAGAGCCAGCTTCCTTCCCCCACTACTAACTGTTGAGACATTGGGCAAGTTTCTTATCTTCTCTGAGCCTCTAGTTCCTCACTGGTAAAATGGAGATAATAATAGAACGAACCCTAGAGTTGTCATGAGCTTTAATACATGTAAAGTGAGTTAACATGTAAAGGAAGTTAATGCTGAGAACAGTTGCCAACACATGATAAGCATGTTGCTCCTGAGGCTATTGTCATCATTCTTTTTGGATGTCATAGGCCTCTTCCTCAGGGCAGAGACTCTGCCTTATCAGTGTGTCTTCTGAATACCAGGCCCTGGCCTGATGTTAGAGATGTAGATACCCACGTGTGTGTGTGTGTGTGTGTATGTGTGTGTATACTATACATATAATGTGTGTATATATATCTATATCTCTCTATATAGGTACATATATAGATACATACATACAGTACACACACAAACACACAGATATATACACACTATATGTGTATAGTATATGCATGTAACTCGTGGCTGACCATGCTCCTCAGCTTATCTGTGAGGGCTCAGGAGGTAATGGTTTCCTCATCCCAGCCTTTCTGTCTTCATGTTGTCGTTGAGACTGCACTTACCTCTGACAGCATGTCTTTTAAAGGGCGTTAAAAATCTTAACATACTCTACAAGTGAGGAAAGGCCCACTGCTTCAACCCTCAAAAAGACTTAAAGTCTGGTTAGAGTTCTAAGAAAAGTATCCTCCTGTTCAGTCATTCATCACACATTTGATGAGGTCCCCTCTCCACCAGCCTGTGTTGGTCATGAGAAAGGTAGCACGAGAAGGAGAGTCTGGGCACTGTCTTCACAGAGCTCACAGGCCAAGTCGGGCATGGAGCTGGAGCCATAATAAAGATAATCTGGGCACTTTTAACCAGTACTTCTCAAAGGGCCTGGGGATATATCAGCTGAGGAGTGAACTCACTTCTGAGTTGAGAACTGCTTTAGGTAAAAAAGAAAAAAGGAAAAAAGAAAGTCAGTCTGGATTAGTAGGAGCAGGAACCAGGCCTTTGAGGCTCTCATCAGGAGCCCTGGGGCCAGAGGTTGAAGCCTCTCCTGGGATCAGTCCCAGAGCAGGCCCCTGGCATCAGGAGCCTATGTGTCTGCTCTCTTCTTCCCATCCATATTCCTTTTAGGAGAGTCACGCAGCACAATGCCAGCTCTGCCCCTGGACCAACTCCAGATCACGCACAAGGACCTGAAGACAGGAAAGCTGAGGACTTCACCAGCGCTGGTGAGCCGGTGCCTTGAGGCCATTCAGCCTGATATTATCATTCTTGCAATTTCAAAAGTGGAAAATAAATTCCTTCTTTATCTGTTCCAAGAATGACCTCAGGGCCACAGTCAGTAATTCAGTAGCTGGGATACTACTAGGTCCTTCCAGGCCCGATGTCGAAGTTTCTGTTCCAAGTAGCAGCTAAAACTTGCGTAGTATTTTCCATGTCACCACCCCACACCTTCCCTCAAAGCATTTCATTTTGAATCAGAGTCTGATGACAGTTCTGACTAGCCTGAGCTGGCCTAGAAATGGATCCATCCCAAAGCGGGGTTTGGGTATTTGACCCTGTGGGAGGTGTTCAGGTTTCAAGTAGGCCTTTGTCAGAGCTATCTCAGCTGCTATCCACACTTTGGGGGGAACACTGATTTCAGAGGGCCAGCCGTCTTTTATCACAATGGGCTAAGAAGTGCCACATACAGGCTCGGCAGGGCTTGTGAGAATGAAAAACGAGGCTGTGAACATGCCGATTTCCAGCTGCAGAGTGAGATTAGAGTCACAGAGAGGTGCCAGGCTGCTGAAGGGGGAGACAAACGTGGGGACTGGAGTCTCTGTACCCACTTGCTGTTTTCCCAAAAATATGAGCTTACTCAAACAAGCTAGGAGGAAGTATTTTCCGGGAGCTTGAGTAAAGTCGTGGGAAAAAGAGCTTGGTGTTTTATTTCCTGCTTTCTGGATAGCCTCCTATTACTTCCTAACTACCCTCTAATAAAAGTATTTAACATTCATAGAACACTCACTCTGGGCCAAACCTTTCCAAACACTTCACCTGGATTATCTCATCTAAGCCGCACCATAGCCCTATGAATAGGTATTTGATTGTTCCCATTTTACAGATGAGGAAACAGAAAGTTCAAGGTCATAGAACTAGGAAATTAGGGGAGTTGAGATGGGAATCCAGCTAGGCTGACCCAAGAGCTCATACCCTTAACCTTTCTTCTATAAAACCTCTTGTTTCTTTTTTGTAACCTTTTTATGTAAGGAGGATAGTATCAGAAAATGTAGAACAATTCTGTCCAATGTGGTAGCTATTTGCCACATGTAACGATTGAGCACTTTAAATGTGCATTATTCGATTGAGGAACTGGGTATTTATTTTAATTTTAGTTAATTTAAATTAAAATACCCCATGAGGTGAGCAGTGGCCTGCGCAGGTGTAGAACAGTTCTGTTATTATAGAAAGTTATGTTGGACAGTACTGGTTCCTTAAGTGGTCGGGTCTGATTTTCCACCTTGGTTCTTCTCCTTGTACTGAGCACCTAGGTTGCTAGACTAAGGGCTACCTAAGATGGGACCTGGTGCCTCCTCTTTATTCTGGTTTCCCAGTGCCAGGAAAAATTCAGACAAAGAGTTAAGGACCCCAGCCAGCCACTGTGACAGGCACTGGGATTACAGAGAGAAAAGACATTGTCCCTGCCCTTAAGCAGCCTATGGTCTGAGGGGAAAACAGACTGGTAGCTTCTCTAGAATGTGATCAGGGTTGGGATAGAAGGAAGTCCTGCAGGCTCCTACATGAGCAGAGCCTCTGGGCTGCTGATCCAGTTGGAAAGGGTGTGTGGAGGCAGGGAGGTCTCGGGAGTAATGGGAGGGCATGTGCAGCCAGGGAAGGCTTCCTGAAGGAGGGGGATCCTGAACTGGGTATTGAAAGGTGAATAAGCAGTAGCCAGGCAGAGCAATGGGAAGAGGGTGGACCTGGATGAAAATATGCTGTTTCTTGAGGTCCTGACTCCTGTACCAAGCACCAGTCACTTGAGGTGGAGATAGTGTCCAACGGGCCTTGAGTTAACTTTCACACTCAAATTGGCTGTGTGACTTTGGGCAAGTTATGCAACCTCTCCGTGTTTCAGGATCTAAAAAGGGTAATAATGGAACCAGTTTTGTGTGGTGGCTACAAGGATGAGATGTCTGAATTAGCACTGTGCCTAGGACATAGTAAGCACTCAGTAATCATGGTGATGATGACAGTGACAGAAACGTTGACTGGGAGTAGGATAGGAAGAGGAGTGAGCTGAGGGAGGCAGCCGCCGGATGGAGGAGCAGTCTTGTTAGCCATGCTGAAAGGGTTACCCTGCTGGCCACCGGAAGCTCCTGGGAGATTGTCCTGAGGTTTGTACTCACCCTGTATTTTTCTCTTTAGTCTGAACTTGGGACAAGAGGATCTCTAGCCAAGGGTCAGCCACCATGCTGCCTTCACAGGGTGATGAGTGAAGCTAATGTTTGTTGAGTAGCTATTGTGTGCACAGTACAAACTGGGTGATATTCAAGATAGAAAATAAATAAAGTCTTGGGCCAGAATGGGTGAATGAGCTTATGAGGAAGACAAGGCTCATTTAAGTAGAACATTTGGAGAACAGGGCAAAATAGTTTCTTATCAAGATAAACAGAAGTTTGATAGGCAGAGAGTGTTCAGAAGGCTTCATGGGGCAAGTGGGACCCAAACCAGGTTTAAAGGGTGGGGCCTGCTGCTCCCTGCTGTGAAATCTTCCATGGCCCCCGTTATCTACTAAGTAAAGTCCCTACTCTTGAGCTTGGCATTTAAGTTTTTCAAAGACCTTGGTAGTATCTGGTCCTCTATTACCTCTATTCTTTTTTTTTCCCAACCAACAAATGTATATGGAGAGTCTGCTGGGTGCCAGGCACTATTCTAGGGACTGGGAATGTGGTGAGCGAGACCCAGACTGCCTCCAGAGACCTACAGTCTATCTGGGGAGGCAGACAAGGTGGGGTATCCCTTTGTGTATAACTTTATCAGGGTATCATTGAAGGAAAATAAACTGTACACATTTAAAGTATACCATCTGATTAGCTTTGACATCTTTATACACCACGAAGCCATCACCATGATCAAGATATTGAACATTTCGTAGCTCAGTGGATTGGGCATGGGCCTCTGAAGCAAAGGGTCGCTGGTTCAATTCCTAGTCAGGGCACATGCCTGTGTTGCAGGCTGGTCCCCAGTAGGGGACACATGAGAGGCAACCACACACTGATGTTTCTCTCCCTCTCTTTCTCTTTCCCTTTCCCTCTCTCTAAAAATAAATAAATAAAATATTTTTAAAAAGATATTGAACATTTCATCTACTTCCAAAAGTTTATTTGTGCCCCTCTATAGTTTGTCCCTTCCTCCCTCCCCATCTGCAGCAAGATCTGAAAGCACTGATGCGGTTCAAGTGCTATAGTCAGGGAAGCTCAGAGCGCAGGTGCTGGGGGAGGCCAGGTAAAACTCTAATCTAGTCAGGGGTGGGAGTTGGGGAGACTTCCTGGAGGAAGTGAGGTCAGGGCTGGAGTCAAAAGGACAAGCAGAGAGACCAGGATGGCACATGGGTACCGTAGGTCATTTAGTAGGTCTGCAGTATAAGCTTTGGTTCATATCCTGCCTCGGTTGCCTCCTTAGCCCTGTGACCTTGGCATAGTTCCTGAAGCTTACTGAGTCTTTGTTTCCTCCTCTGTAAAAAAAAAAAAAAGAATATCTTTTAAATAATTGTCATAGATAAAAAAGAAAGGCCGTGGGACATACCTACTTTCAGCTGGTGTGGGGCAGTTCCTCCACAAGCAGTGGGTTTTATTATCATTATTTCAGTGTTCTGTCCGTCCAAATCCATCTCCTGCCACCCAGTGCAATCTGTCCCTTCTTTTTTAATGGCCCATTTTTATACCTCTGAAAAAACACCGTTTCTTCATTCGAAAAATCTTTCTCATTGTCCAAGGGCAGCTCGGATGCTGCCGGCTCTGGGAGGCTAGGCGGCCCTTGCCCTGCAGGCACCGCTAATCCCCTGCTGCGCTCCCACGGTCCCTCTGCCAGGTTTAGCTGTCGCTTCCTCTGTCGTGTGTTCACTTGATGGCTTAGATGTGCATCTTTCCCTCTGGAGCATGGGTGTCTGTGGGCATGCAGATGCTTCTCTTTGCATGCCCCACCACACCTGGCACAGCGGGGTGCCCGTCAGTTTGTAGGATTGCAAGGAACGTACAATCTAGGGGTGGTGAGGTGTGTTTCCATTGGAGGGCGAGTGAGTAGCCAAGCCTGGGAAGCAACCTGAGAAGTGAGGTGTCAACAGAGTGGTGGAGGAGCTTGCAAACCCAGGAAGGAGATGAAGGCCCTGGAGAGTGGTTTTGAACTTGCTTCAGTCAGCAGGATTCCTGTTTGAAAAGATTTCTACCTGGAACCCCACTGTATAAATTCTTATTTAAATGGCAAGGACCCCTCCAATGGGTGGCCCCTGAGGAATGCTTGTGGAACCCAGACTCCACAGTTCGAAAACTCGCCTTAGACAGAGGAAGGCTTAGGTGGCTCTCAAGGAGACTGACAATCAGTCGTGATTTTCCTGTCCCCCTGGACTGACAGACCTGGAAGCGGGCGGACTGTGGTTGATAACAGCTGAGATGTTACCGGCCTTCCTCCTATTACCATTTCCCCTGGAGAAAGCAGCCCTTGTGTAGTCAGAGGAGAAAACTGAGCTCATCGTCTCTTCTTTATGGTGAACAAAGTAAGGTTTGTTCACGACAAGGTAGGAGCTAGAAGAGAGAACTTGTGATTCTAAGCCAACACCTACAATTACTTGATTACAGCATCCTTTCTTAAAAAAAAAAAAACTATTGACGGTGTTTTTAATTATTAAAAGGATAAAGCATGATACATACAGAATGATACCATTTTTGTGAGAAAGATGAAAACATCTAAACAAATACTTTATATGAGTACACTTTAATATACATGCCTAGAAAAGGTCTGCAAGCGTCATCACCAGATGGGAGGACACAGGACCTGCGGGCGTGGTCCCAGGCAGCTCACCTCTGTAGTGTTTTAAATTTATTAAAGAAGAGACATTTCACTGGTACAATTAAAAATAATTTTTAAAGTAATACATGTTTATTTTTTTTAATTGGAAAGTACATTCAAGTCAAAATCCCCGCCCCTCAGCAGAGATAACCACTATCAGCGTTGGAGTGTTGTCCTCACTACACTTTTTTAGCCTGTACCAGTGGGTGAATGTGTTAAATATATCTATCTCTATACACTTAAAAAAAAAAAACCAAAACTGATTATATTGAGAGGCTTGTACCCTGCTTTTTCTTTCCTTCACCTTCCCCCCTGTCATTAAATAGTCTCCAAATGGTTTTTAATGCCCGCCTCGTGTTCCCTGGATGCAGCCAAGCCCCTTGGTTAGAGACACTTGGTTCTTTATGCTTAAAAGCTCCTTGGAGGGTCACTGGTTGGAACAGCCTAGTGTTGTCATTGCTGTGGGTTGGCAAGTGGGCCCTCACTGACTAACCTCTGCCACGGTAACACGTGGTTTTTGGATCCGTAGCACCCTGAGCAGAAGGCAGACCGGTATTTTGTGTTATACAAACCGCCCCCTAAAGACAACATTCCCGCCCTAGTGGAGGAGTACCTGGAACGCGCCACCTTCGTAGCCAATGACCTCGACTGGCTCCTGGCCTTGCCTCACGATAAATTCTGGTGCCAGGTAACATTCTATCAAAATTAACGCTAAGACAAAGCACATGACGTGCCGTTTGGTTGGTTGCTGTTGTTGTTTCTCTCCCCCTAGGAGATGCTTTTTTCTCTACTTTTTTCACTGGATCCTTTTACCAGCAAATTGTGGTTTGGATCACTCTGTCTTGTATCACAATCTCAATGATGTTTATGCAGTGCCTCCTAGTGCGTCATTTTAGAAACTTGTGTTTAGCCCTGGCTCATTCATACCTCCTTAGTCCCTTGGGGTTGGAGTGTTTGCCACCAGCCAGGGTTGATGGGCTTTGAGCCCCTGCGCAGTCCACCCACAAGCCCCAGGGCCTTGGTAACAAATCCTTGCTCTCCTCTGTTGCCTGGCTAAGGTTATCTTCGATGAGACCCTGCAGAAGTGCCTGGACTCCTACCTGCACTATGTCCCCAGAAAGTTTGATGAGTGGGTGGCCCCAGCCCCCGAGGTTGTTGACATGCAGAAGCGCCTCCATCGAAGCGTTTTTCTCACCTTCCTCCGAATGTCCACTCACAAGGAATCCAAAGTAAGTCCCTGATCCCATGACAGGTCGCCAGTGACACCTAACACCTCTGTGCCGGACTCTCCGTCCCTGGGAAGGAAGGCTCTGGAAGTATCCAGTTTCCCCTTTGTCTCCTCTCCACCTTTATTCCCACCACTGGGGAAGAAATCTGTGCCACCTCCCTTATCCTGTAATTCACCAGGTCGGCCTGTGCTACACCCACTGTTTTCATCAATGGGAGCCGAGGGCCCTTTGCCAGATGACGCGTGACTCTGCCTTTTCTTGTGCGTCAGAAGATGAAAACAGTGATTCTGATTTTTCAGAGGAGCTTGTATATGCTTTTTAAAAACCTCTACTCCCTCCCCCCAATTTTAGAAATAATACTGTCTCTGAACAATACAAAGATTACAGATATAATTTATCAATTGTGAAGTTTACCTACAAAATCCCCTCCCTCTAAAATAACCACTTTTAAGGTGAATATTCCTTTAGGGTTTTCCTTTTTTTCCCTCCCTTTAAATAGGGGTGTATGTCTGTGCATGTATTTATTTTAAAAATAGGGTCTTTTTTTAAATAACGTTTTTAGAATGGACATTTTCAAATATACACAAAAGCATAATGAACCCTATGTACCCATCATCCAACTTCAACAATTATCAACATTTTGCTGATCTAGTTTTCTCTCTTCTTCAGAGTTTTTCTTTGTTTCTTTTTTTCTTTTCTGGAGTATTTTAAAGCTATTCCAGACATCATGGTAATTTATACATGAATATTTTAGAATGAATCTCAACCAACTGTTTCATAATGTATTTTTGCTTCTTTTTATATTAAAATGAAGAATGTCTATTTCTCTAGATCAATATATGAGTCTCAGACATGTCCACAGTATAGATGGACCTTTATTAATTATTATCCAGTCCCCTGCTGATGGACCAAAGGTTGTTTCTTGTGAGTTTGCTATTTACAATGCATCTGCTTTCAGAAAGTCTCTCATCCTTTCTCGGTACTGTCCCTTAGGATCACTTCATTTCCCCCTCTGCATTTGGAGAAATCCTCTACAATAACTTCCTGTTTGACATCCCAAAGATCCTGGACCTCTGCGTGCTCTTTGGAAAAGGCAACTCACCGCTGCTCAAGAAGATGATAGGTGTGTAAGGCGTGGGACCTGGGGGGTGCACAGAGATGGCCCCCAAATGCCAAACTAGAGGTTCCAAAGGTAGGCACCTAGATGAGTGCAGGGGGATTCCAAGTGGCAGTGGTGGGTGGTGACTTGAAAATGACTTAGATATGTGTATAGCAACTCTGGAGTAAGTGGCTGGGTGATGACGGGGAAATGGAGACAAAGATGTGTACCACATGGTCCCTCAAGGACCTTGGAGTCTGAGTGTTAGGCCACATGTTAAACAGTTGAAGAAGAGGGGAGTTTGCTTCATTGGTAAGAGTGGGAGTGGCAATGATAGCTGACTTTTACTGGAGTGCTCGCTGAGGGGCTGAGCATTCATCATGTGTCATCTCAGCCAGGTCAGAGCAGCCTTGTGACCTGAGTGCCGTCATCCTCCACATCTACAGATAAGGAGACTGGGTTACAATGTGAGGGACTTGCCTAAGGGGCCATGACTAGTTAGTGTCCAAACTGGAATTTAAGTCACATAAGCCTGACTCTCGAGTTCTTGTTCTTTTTTTTTTTAATTGATTTGAGAGAGAAAGAGCAAGAGAAACATCAATTTCGTGTTCCACTTATTTATGCATGCATTGGTTGCTTCTTAAATGTGCCCTGACCAGGGATTGAACACACAGCCTTGGTGTATTGGGATGACACTCTAACCAACTGAGCTATATAGCTAGGGCCATCAAGCTCTTGTTCTTTGCTACTCCCTGCCTCAGGGATGCTAAGACTGCCTCAGAATGTCATGATTTGCATTGTTGCTGAGAACAGATGGGGGCAGAGTTCAGAGAGGACGCTGGATTGTGAAAGAAATGAAGTCAGCAGCAGATGCTGTCAGGAGGCAGTGGGCTGGAAAGTTCAGCCAGAGTCAGAAGCTTTGTTGAGATGCTACAGCAGGAACAGCGCCCATTGCCATTCATGGCATGGGGTCCTGCACAGAGGTACTCACCTGGACACCCCTGTTAGCCTCCTTCACCTTGAGATTGTAGGACATGGTCTTTGAAATGCCCAGTTGCAAAGCTGAGTTATCCCTTATAATGGTTTCCTCCCTTTTTTTCCTAATAATAAAGGAATTTGTATGTTAATATAGAAGCTTTTGGAAGAATACTAAATATAAAGAAGCAGAAAGCAGTTACCAAATTCCTGTATTTAGAGACAATCATTTGGTGATTATTTCCTTCCAGTCTTTTCTCTGTGTATTTATTAAAAACATATCAGAGCTCATGTATATGAAATTTCATATCCAGCCTTTTTATTGGGACAACCTCTGGTTTCTCATTCAAATCTAATTCTTGCTTCATCATCAGTTAATTTCTTTTATTTTCCCAGGGAAAGACCCTTACTAGTTTTAATGTAGACAGAGAGGATGGTGTAAGTGAGCAAAAAACAAGCATGCTTTGTTAAACAATTATTAGGCCAGTTTAGTTAGAGTGGAGCATTCTGGGAGACCAAGGAACGGCCAGATCAGGGAGGGCTCAGTGCCAGGCTTTAGGGAGTGGTATTACTGGTGGCTCAGAAGGCAGGCTCCCAAGATGAACTGCCCAATTCACACCCCGGCTCTATTCCCAGCTGTCCCATCACTCTAATTGGCATATTGTCAATTAGCCACTCTAAGGCTCAGTTATCTCATGTAAAAATGGGAAGACTAGTGACTTACCCACCTTGTACGATGGTTGTGGGGATTAAATATGAGGTGGTGCTCAGCACAGTGCCTGGCACATTATAGGCACTTGGTAAGTGTGAGCTCTTATTGTGATGAGACCATGGCAGTCCTAGGAGCTTGGAGCAGGGTGGGGAACTCTCTGGTAACAGGGTTAATCTGGCAGCACATGCGTCGGGAGGGTGGTGACAGGAGGCCACAAAGGAGGCTAGTGGCTCCATGTGGCTTTGAAGGTGAGAGCCTGGTTGGGCTGCTGGGGTGGAAGAGGATATCTGGGAGGTGGAATAAAACAGGACTTAGTGAGGTCAGCTGCAGAGAAAAGTCTTAATGATTCCGGAGAAAACTGGTGTCAATTGCAGAAAAGGCCTTTGGGAGGTGGCAGAGTGCATTGTGAGTAGAGGCAAGGTCAGCGTTAGATCTGTTGGGTGTAGAATGGCTGTGTGGATGGTGGGGGGGGAGATGACGCATCCAGATGGGCCGGGGTGGAGGGAGAAAGCTCTGCCTGCTGCCAGGGTTCCTAATCATTTGAATCACTGACTCCTTTGAGAATCAGATAAAAGCTTGTCTCTGGAAAAACATACCCCCTTTATAGATTTTGAGGTGTTTCAGAACGTCCTCATTCCCATTTTGAGAACCCTGTAATGGCTTATTCTTTGGCTCTACAGGATGCTTAATGGAAAAGAGGGCATGACCAGGCATCAGGAATCCATTCATTGTATGTGTGTTGTATGTGTGTGTTGGGGGTGGGTGTGGAGAACAGGCCTGCAGGCACAGGAGAGAAGAAGGGAGCAAGGAACCTGGCTGAGGGTCCTTTGGGCAGAAGCCCAGTCCTTACCCTGCCCCTTACTCCCCCTACGGCCTGCTTTTCTTAAACCTCAAGATGTATTGTAAATTAACAAGTAATTCTGAACCCAGGTCCTTTCAGTTGAACTCTCTTGGAGCTGCTTTGCCAAAGCAGGAGTGCACTGGGCCTTGGCCCTGTCTGGACTGCACTGATCTATTTGGCAACACTTCCCATTCACCCTGGGTTTCTGGACTGCTTTAGTCCGAGGAGGGACATTTCCAAGGATGCCGCTGCTATCTCATACCTTTTCATTATTTTTCTAAGAGATCCAAAGTCAGATCTTCACCATAATCGGGATAGATAAAGGAAAGGAAAGGAATTTCAAAGTCCCCAAGGTAGAATATGAAATGTGATCTCTTTTGATGCTTGTTAAAACATTGCTGTTACTCAGGCTTGAGAATTGGGAGGATTATGAGAGAGTGCCTTCCACCATGCTAGGTGGTTGGGATGTGGAAAGGACCTTAGTGTGGCCCTGGGAATTATGGGAGGAGACCTGTTCCTGATTCCTGGGTCAGGAGACACTACCTGGAGAAGGCAACTTCTGCCTTATCGGGGGACACTTCATGCAGAAGGAGGGGACAAGGCTTATTCTCTGAGAATGAGGATGGTGCAAGGGAGGAGGCGCGATGCCAGGAATGGTGAGAGGGTTGCCAGAGATGCCAGCAGAGGCCAGATCTCACAGGGCCCTTTGTGCCTTGGTGAGGAGTTTGGACTTGACCTTGAAGATCCTGATAGGAGGGTTTTATGAAGAAGAGCAGAGGTTGGTAGAGAGGCAGCTCAGTCACTTCTTGCCTGTCAGGAGTCAGAGGTGGGCGCACATGGTCAGGGAGTACCTTCACAGGTTGAGGGATCAGCACCCATCTGGAGATGGGAAGTGCTGAGCAATTGTGTTGATAAAACTCAGCTTTCTGGAATCAAGGGAAAAAGTAGCATCCAGGAAAGTGTTCACAGAAAGTCCAGCCACCTAGTTACTTGCTTACTTACCCAGCGCCATCTGGCCTTTGCATTTACAAATCCTCTGGGATGGGGTGAGGGCGGCAGAGTTTTCGATAAAGAAACCAAGGACAGAAGACACCTAGAATTCTGAACACCCTGACAGTCAGCCAGTGTTCAATGCTAGGATTAGAATGGGATGGAGAACCCTGGCCTCTCAGGGCGTCGACACTTGCGTGTCACTTCTCCGACTGGCTGTGGTGCTCCCTCTCTCCCTTCACCATTCGGGCAGTCAGATCCTTTGGTTTCTGTTCAGTTACCATACGCTCTAACCTACTCACTCACAGCAGCAGCACTGGGAGCACAGTAAACACCCAGAGAGGAGCTTCACTTTACAGAAACAACTGCAAATGGGTGGTAAATCTGTCTTCAGGCCTCTTGCAGGCCTCTCACCTTGGAGTGGGATCCATTAGTATGACTGGCATATTCAAAAGCAGAGGATGAGAGAATTTCCAGAGAAATTTTTCCTTAGATCCCTTCACATTATTGGAGACGTGGCCTGGCAAGAATCCTGGATTCTGGCATCCAGGTTTCTTGAGCAAAGAGATCGTATCTCCTCATTTTCCTGGATGACTAACTCCCACTTCTAAAGCCAATGCTGTCATACAAGGCACGGTGCCCAAGTGTGATCACTCCCTGGGGACGTCAGGCGGAGCTGGTTTGACCAGGGCAGGTCTTTTACGTAACTCACTAGGCAGAGGTGCTTATAAGGTTAAACTGTGCCAAGCAAAGTCCCTCCCCCATCCTAGAGAAGTTTCTAGGCTGGGCCAACGCTCTGGTGCCAGCAAGGCCTGGGGCCAGGACTGCTCTGGTTCAGGCAGGCTTAGGAAAGGGAAGAAGGGTCACAGAATGTGCTGGCAACCATTGTAATGTATCCTCTCCACCCCTACTCTCTTTTCCCAATTCCTACCTTTCTCTTCTCTTTTCAGGAAACATCTTTACCCAGCAGCCAAATTACTATAGTGACCTGGATGAAACCATGCCCACCATCCTTCAGGTACCAGCTCTGAGCCCTGCCCAGAGGAGGGTGAGCCCAGGAAGCAGACCTCTTCCCCACCTGATAGTGCACCTTGACTTTCCTGAGCCCGAGAGAAACGTTTACTCCCCACTCCCCTGTGGTCCCACCTCTAGAAGGTCTCAGTATCCTGCTTCTCACCACACCACTTTGCTCTTTCCCTGCTGAGCAGGCTGAACTCTAAGGGCTGTCAGGTACCGTACTCGTGCAAAAGAGCTTGCATTTTGTGTTTGCTGATAGCCATAGCCTCTAAGGCTACCCCTCTAAGAGAGCTTAAATAAAAGCTTTAAAGTTTTCTAAAATAATTTTATGAAATAATAATGTTCAATGTGAAATACTGGAAAGTATTAAAAAATAGAAAAAGGAAGATAAATATTCCCCTGTGATTCCATCCAATCACCAAGAGATATCCATCATCATGGTACCTTTTAGAATACGGTTGTCCCTCTGTATCCATGGGCTCTGCATCTGAGAATTTAGTGGATTGAAAATGTATTTTTTTTATGCGCTGGCTGTGTGGCTCAGTGGATTGATTGCCAGTCTGCCAGCCAAGGGGTCATAGGTTCAATTCCCAGTCAGGGCACCTGCCTGGGTTGCCGGCCAGGTCTGTAGTAGGGGCCACGTGAGAGACAACCACACATGGATGTTTTCCTATTTCCCTCCCTTCCTCATTCTCTAAAAATGAATACATTTTTAAAAAATATTTAAAAAACATTTTTAATGCTACATTGTTGCTGATGTGTGCTATATAGATAGGCCTATGATGGTTGTTTCCGTGCTGAAAATGTTCAGGTTTTTTTTTCTTGCCATTAAAATTTTTTTCTAATTTATTGCTTTCAGAGAGAGAAAGAAAGGGAAGGGGAGAGAGAAAGAGAAAAAAATATCAATTTCTTGTTCCACTTATTCATGCATTCATTGGTTGCTTCTCATATGTGTCCTGACCATGGATCGAGTCCCTCACCCTTGGCACATTGGGATGACACTCTGACCAATTCACTGAGCTACTCAGCCAGGCGGTTGTTTCTTAAACCACCAGCATCACCACTGTTTGTATAGCATTCACACTGGATTAGGTGTTAGAGGTGATTGGCAGGGGTGTCCCACCTTCTGGCGTCTCTGGGCCACACTGGAAGAAGAAGAGTTGTCTTGGGCCACACATTAAATACACTGTGACACATAATCACAAAAATAATCTCATCATGTTTTAAGTAAATTTACCGTTATGTGTTGGGCCGCATTCATAGCCATCTAGCCCACAGGCTATAGGTTGAACACCCCTGAAGTATACAAGGCAATGTGTAGGCTATATACAAATACGCCATTTTATATAAGCATCTTGAGCTTATAAAATAATTCACAAGACTTGAGCATCTGTGAATTTTGGTATCACCAAGGGCCTAGGACCAATTCCTGAAGGATTTCGAGGGACAGTTATCCATTAGCATACTTAAAGATGGCATAATCAGCTAAAGATTACATAATTTTATAATCAGCTTTGTTTGTGTGATCACTGTTGATTTCTCTTTTATTTTAATATAGTTCCTATAAATGCCATCTACAGGGGAATCCAAAAACACATAGATTGCGGAATGTATATCTTAAACATTACCATACACTTGCCCAGCCTCTCCAGTCGGATAACATCCGTAAAATCCCAGGGCTTTACATACACTTTGTCTTTTAATCCTCACCATAGTCCTGTATCCCCACCATCTCTGTTTTACACTTTCCACTCTGACCATGCTCTCAGAGAAGGTCACTGTCTCAACTGGCATAGATTCCAGAGTCCAAGGCAGTTTTCAGATCACCCACCCCCAGCTGTAGGACAGAGGTCCGAGCTGTTGGTCTGACAGGTGGTGGGAAAGTCACCTCTTGTGTTTCGCAGGTCTTCAGCAATATCCTCCAGCACAGTGGTTTGCAAGGGGACGGGGCCAGCGCCACACCACAGAAGCTTGAAGAGAGGGGCCGGTTGACCCCCAGTGACATGCCCCTCCTGGTGAGGTTGCCCTTCGGCCCAGCCTCTTACTGCCTGATAGAGGACCCAGCAGCTTCTCCCCCTGGTCATTCCCCTTTCCCCAATTCTATAAGCAGCGATTCCCATCACATTTAGAGCATTTCAGCAGGCTTTCATTTTTCTCCGGAAGCTTCATTTAGGGAGTAGGGGAACGAATAGGGAACTGGGATTCAGAGGACAGGAGTTTAGTTCAGCCGCACAGGTTCATTCATGTGCCGTTTGTTGGGCTATTCGTTCGTTTAGTGAATTTGTGCTGAGGAACCCCTGGCATGTGCCAGGCCCTGTGCCGGGCCTCGGGTGTAAAGCAGTAAGCAAAAAGCAGACTTGTTGTCTGCTCTCATGGAACTTAGAGTCTCGTGCTGATGACAGACAGAAGGTAAATATTTAAGAAGGCTGGACATATGCCAGGTCCTGCTTTAAGCACCAGAGATAGAGCAGGAACAAGGCAGCTATGAGCCGCTGTCTTGGACCTTACGATCTCATGGGAAAATAGACATGAGACAAGTATTTCAGAAAGGGGTACACTAAGTATGGCAGGAGCAAATCCTTTTTACTTCCCGGAACCTCAGGGTTTTTTATCTGTAAAATAGAGATTCTAACAGCTGCCCAGCTCATAATAATTCTCATGCGTTGTCATGACAATCAGGAAAGGGTATGAGAAAGCGCTCCCTATTCTGAATACTCTCTTCAAAATGCAAGAAAAGTGTGGGCTTGCTATTCTTGCTCTTACTGGGATGTGATTTCTATGGGGGCCACTGTGTTCAGATTCCAGGGTTGGTTCTCCTTCAACTTAGAAGAGGAGCATGTTACCCTAGAGCTGGAAGTAACCCTAGAGGTCACTGGGTGTGTACCCACTGGCACTACATAGCAAGGCCTGAGGCTTAGGGAGGTTGAGTGCCTTGCCCAGGTTGTCCTCCTAGGGATGGACCAGCCAGGCTTTGCCCAAACCTCCAGTGTTCTCTTTCCGCCACGAGGCATCTGCTTGTTGGGACCCCTGGCTTTGTCAGCTTTGTCTCCAAGCCTTCACAGAACTGTAACAAGGGGGCAGAGGAGATTAATGCAATGTTTTCTTTTGGCCCCAGGAATTAAAGGACATTGTTCTCTACCTTTGTGATACCTGCACTACACTCTGGGCCTTTCTGGATATCTTCCCTTTGGCTTGCCAAACCTTCCAGAAACACGACTTCTGTTACAGGTACTGTGATAGTTTGGGCTGTTGAAATAATGGTTGTAGTTCTCATTCTCATTCAACAAGTATTTGCTGGGTGTTTACAACATACCAGGCCCTACTACGGCCCAGGGACGTAGAAGTAAAGAACACAGATAAGGCTCCTGCCTGCATGGGGCCTGCATTTTAGAAGCACTCCCATTTTTGGCTAAGAACAGGGTAGGGGAGAAAAAAAGCAACAACCAAGAATAGGACAATTTCAATTAAGTTCTATTTCATTATCAGAGCTCCCATCCTGGGCAAGGGAGTAATAGACACCAAGAAGTGGCTGAGGACTTCAGCACCTAGTCCAGGGCAGAGAAACACACACGAGGAAACAAGCATATATGCTCACAGGCAGGCCAGGCTGTTGTGGCCATTTATGAAATGCTCTGGGAACACAGAGGAGAGAGGTGGAATTTTGTCTGGTGAAATAAGAGGTTTCGTGGTGATCCTTAAACAAGGTTTGGAAGAATGAGCAAGAACCTTTCAGACACAGAAAGGTTGCATTGGCAGGAAGGGCGTGCCAGGCGGGTGGAGTGAAGTCTTCCTAGGCCCAGAGTGTGTTCCTGGGAAAGCCAGGAAGTAGAAGGTGACAAGTTGTGGGTGGGGGGAGGGGATGGGGTGGAGACTAGGGCAGCAGGAAAAGGAATGGGTAACAGAGAGATATGGCCCTGGGGAAAGGTGGTAAAAAGTAATATTGAGAGGAGCCTTAAACACTCTCAGGGAGTGGCGCCTTCATTCTGTGGGCAGAAGGGAGCCACTGGAGGTTCTTATCCAGAGAAGTCATAGAAAGATCCTGTTGGGATGAAGAAAGAGGTAGAGAAGGATGCGGGGAAGGGAGGGAGACTCTCTTTGCCTTCTCAGCACCATGAGCTGATACATGTTCCTTGTGCGGGAGAAAGGGGTATAAGGCATGGCTGGTAACCTACATGTTGCCTGGCAACAGTGGGGCTGGCCCGTTCACAGTGGCATCTGCCTGTCGCTCTTGCCAGGCATCTTTCTCCACTGTTGGAAGGAGTTCTGGGAGCTGCCCAGCTCTGTCCACCCACCGTCAGTCCATTCAGTCACTTACTTGCCCATTCAACAAAGCGTTTATCTAGCGCTGACATGTGCCAGGGGTGACAGTGGTATTCTGACTCCTTTTGGGTCACTTCAGGTGGCAATACTCAGACTTCAGGATTGATCGGCCTCCCACAGAATGTTGGAATAAAGCACTGATCGACAATTTCCAAGCAGAAAGGGGTTAGGATGGAACCGTCGCTGGCCATTTTTTTAAAAAAGTATTTTTTCTCATGGTACATGTGGCAAATCCTGGTAGGAATTTGGAAAATCCCCAAAGGTAGGAAATTAAATCACTATGACAGGTCATGTTAGTCCTAGACTTTTGTGCCCTGCTTATTTCCACTTCTCACAGGCATTTTCCTCTTTGTCACAGCACCTCCCCAAATGTGACACAGGTTGCTTTTGAAAGGGTCTTTGGGGATCGGGGGGTCATTTTTGGAAGAGATGACTTTCTTGCAAGAGACAGTGGAAAGAGGGGAGCGGCTGAGTGGACTCATCTCAGGGTGAGGGGGAAAAAACAGAAAACACTTTTGACTGAAAGTGACACTGCCTTTGCCAAATGACACTGCCTTTGACCCAGAAACAGCCTGGGCCTGGCCCAGCCTGTTCAAACTGTGTTGGAGGCCAGGAACGCCCAGTGAGCAAATGCAGTAACCTCAGTCCCCGAGGACTTTCTGCAAGGGGTCACAGCCACCAAACAGCTCTTTAGCTAATCCCTCTAATAACAGCCTTCTCCTCCTTCCGAGTATATGCTTGAGTATATCTGAATCTCTCTCTCTCTCTGTCCTGGAATTTTATGAATGAATAATGCATTCACATGGTTCAAGACTCAAAAAAGTATGAAATATATAGTAACGTCTCCTCTCTCTACTCCAGTTCTGTGCCTCATATACAACCATTGTTCTTAGTTTTTTTGTGGAATTTTCCAGAGATATGCATATACAAGCAAATGTGCATATTATGTATCACCCAGCCCCCTTTGAAATTTAATGCTGGCATATGAATACCCTATATACTGTGTTCATTGTACTTTTAAAATGAATGTATGTCAGTGTATAAAGCACCCTCAGTTTTTGGTGTGGCTGGACAGAATTCCATTTTATGGGATGCCAGATCCCGTGGATCTTTAGTATTTTTTTTCAGTTTTTGCTATTACAAAATAAATACTATAAAGAATAAATTTTTGTCTAACCACTATGTCGTACACCTGAAACTAATATAAAATAATACTGAATGTAAACTATAATTTAAAAAAATAAAGTTTCAGTAATATAAAGCAAAAAAAAATAACTTAGCACATATATTTTGCACCTTTGCAATATTTCTGAGTAATAAATTCCTAGAAGTAGCATTGCAGGAACAGATGGTATATGCATTTTAAATTTTTATAGATCGTGCCAAATCACCCTCCATAGGAGCTGTTCCAGCTTACCCTCCCACCAGCAGTGTATCCTGGCAACGTCTGGTTCTGGGCCACACTGCCCCTTCTGTCTTCTGGGTGCCATCCTATGGGCCTAGTGAAGCCTGCCTCTTTTGGCCTAGTTACCGTCTTCTGCCTATGGCACCACCGTAGGCTGGAAGTTGCTAGAAGTCAGCCAACGGACAGACAAATGTTTACAGAGTGCATGCTACAGATTCAGCACCATCCTAGGCCCGTCCAAGCTGTATTTCTGGCTTTGGGAGCTTTAGGAAACTAGGATGTTCAGAGAGAGAATTACACTGCAGAAGAGAGACAGCTGCATTTACATTCTAAGAATGACATATTCTGAATGCCGTGCATCTGGTTCTGGGAGGGAGTAATCACATGGGTGAGCGTGATGAAGAAGCATGTGGCTGGTTTAATTGAAAAAAAAGAAGCATGTGGCTGGTTTAATTGAAAAAAAAGAAGCATGTGGCTGGAATGGAGAGTTTAAACTGTAGTTGGGGAGGGGGGTGCAAGTTTGCTGCGGTGAGAAGGAAGTCTGTGCCAGGTATGGATGCCCCAGAGGAGGGATTACCATTCGGTATCATAGGAGGAAGGCAGCTGCTAGAACTTTCTGAGCCCCAGAAAAGAGTGACCAGTGTTTCTCAAACTTCAGTTAGTCCTGGGAGGCTATCCTGTTGCTCTGTTAGAATGACCCTATCAGATGATTTCCCATTTGAATGGGAGATGTAGGTACTGGTCACTTCCTAGGGACCTCTTCCTGGGACCCAGCACAATGGGACCATCTGGGGCCAGGGTCATCCCAGGAGAAAATTGGGGCAACAACTTAGGAGCAGGAAATGGGCCTTCCTGCTCCCCTAGGTTTGCTTTGATTTTCTGATGAAGTGCAGAATTTATGAACTAATTTAGCCTTTTTACCATATGTGCCTCCACAGACTTGCTTCCTTTTATGAAATAGCAATTCCTGAGCTGGAGTCTGCAATTAAGAAGAGGAGGCTTGAAGACAGCAAGTGAGGCGGGGACCAAGCTCTGGGTGTCTTTATGGGTGAAAGAAGCCTGAGCAAAGGCCCTGCTTTAGCATCCCCATCTCTAAGGCAAGGGGTGGGAACCAGGATCCTGCTGCTTTGGCTGCTGCATCCCCTCTGAGTAGCCTCCTGGCTGCTGCATCGAAGGCTTTTCCTTTCGGCCATGGCTCTAAGCTTTTGTTAACCAGCCTGCTGGTTCCAGACCCGCTGTTTGAATGGAGAAGTGGCCCTGGAACCAGCCAGCCTCTCAGAGCCTGTAGGCTTTTCCCAGCTTCTGTCCACCTGAATTGTGAGGCCTTTTCAGCCCAGGGTGTGTATGGGGGTGGGGCTGGATGGAGCGGGGGTGGAACCTGCAACTTCTGGGATTAAGCTCCCTTAGTGCCTTTTTGTCTCTCAAGTCTCTCTTTCTTTTTTACCCCTGGCCTTCAAAGGCTGCTAGGTGACCTATGGCAGAGGCTATCCCATTCCAGAAAGAAGCTACTGGAGATTTTCCATACCATCCTGAACGAAATCTGCCTTCTCCCTGTACTAGAAAGCAGGTAAGCCCTTGGAAGCCACTGCCCAGGTGGAAGAGCCCCTTCTGCAAGCCTAGATGGGGCATTTGCCTCATTTTATCTGCCCCCTCTTACTCCTGTGTTGCTGAGAAGGATGGTTTCCTCCAACTGGCTAGAGGCCTTGCACGGGGCGTGGCGAGGTGGGCAGGGAAGGTAGCTGCGTATCATCTGCACTGAATGAACTATCTTCCTTGGTGTCCTGTTCCAGCTGTGACAGCATCCAGGGCTTCATTGAGGAGTTCCTTCAGATCTTCAGCTCTTTGCTGCAGGAGAAGAGGTGAGTGTGGCTGAGTTGGGACCAGCATTGGGACAGGCCCATGGTACTTCATCAGTCCCCACAAGGACTTTCATAATAGAGCCCCTGGCATAACCGCCACAGTCTAAGGCTCTGGAATTTGTGGCTGGGCAGCAGATAGCAGACCGGTGCCCCTGTGGCCCCGGCCCTGTCCCTCCAATCTGCTCTCTGTCTGGCAGGTTCCTCCGGGACTATGATGCACTCTTCCCAGTGGCTGATGACGTCAGCTTGCTGCAGCAGGCCTCGTCAGTCTTGTATCCTTCTATCACAGACGCTGGGAGGGGCCCTGGCCTAAGCAGGTCAGCGATGGGCTGCTGGGACTCAGAGTAGCAGAGTTTACCCCAGAACACACAGGTCAGGCAGCTTTCCCCAGATGCCCAGATCCTTGCCAAGGCTCCGCCCATTTCTGGTGGAGATGATGTCTCTGGTCCTTGGAACAGGGGAGGTACAGTTCTGCTTTCTCTAGGTGTTTACTGAGCGTCTGGGCTCGTGTGACCAAGAGGGACTCAGCCCTGTCCTCACAGACCTCACTGCAGGACGGAAAACAGACAGCTAAACAGGCGGTTAGCTAGAATGTCATATGGGAGAAATTCAGAGGGCAGGGAAACCAGGGGAGGCACCTAACTGAGCAGAGCTCGGGGTTCGGGTGTCACACAGAAGCGACATCCATGCTGAGAACAGCAGAAGGAATAGGAGATGGCCGAGCCCCAAGCTCAGTGTTCCTAGGGGACGGAGCAGGGCGGGCCCATCTGGACAGCCACAGGTATCATGAGTGGATCTTGAGGCAGGCTGATGGGAAGGGGTTTCATGGGAGGGGGTTAGGATATGGCAGATGATTTGGGGCCAGGCAGAACTGCATAGCCCTGGCATAAGCCTCACTAAGAAATTTGGGTCCTGTCCCGCAAGCACCAGCAAGCTGTGGTAACGGGCAGTTTTAGACTTTAGAAAAGCTCCATCTGGCACAGCAATGAGGATAGACTGGCCTGGGACCTCTGTGAGGCCCAGGGGCTGGTGAGGATGCCATCGCTGGCATATCTAGGCATGGCCAGTGGGGGTTCGGGTTAGAAGTGGAGTGAAGGAGTCTAGGGAAACTCTAAGGTGTCTGGCTTGGCAGTGCCCAGGGTGGTAGAGAGGGAAGAGGGGCAGGGAGGAATAGGCCTGGGGGCCATTTCGGTGGCTGGGGTAGATTGCTTGGTCCTGTGTCAGAGGCACCCTGTGGCCTCCAGCCTCTGCAGAAAGCCCTCGGGTGGTTGGACAGGAAGCCCAATGGCAGTGCCTCCTGGGGGTCAGTGCAGAGGAGGAGCTGCTGGCTCATCCAAACACCCTGCCCCAAGGTGCTCTGATTCCAGGTGTTCCTCCTGTCCCTGTCTTTTCCTAGAGCTGCTTTCTGTGGAGCGATAGGTACTGGGTGTTATGGTCAGTGGGGCCATGATCCAGTCTATTTCCTCACGTAGCCCAGGTGCCTGTGACATTCACTGGGGTGCGTCCCAGACAGCCCCTGGCAGGAACCATATGATCATATGCTGGGGAGGGATTGACAAGTTATGCTGCCGCACAACCGAGGCAGCAGAGAGGCTTGTGGCACCCGAGAGAGACCCCTTAACACCTCACAGAGATGAGACACGGACTGCCTACATCCTCCAGGCGGTTGAGAGTGCGTGGGAAGGGGTGGACCGACGGAAAGCCACAGGTGCTAAGGACCCACCCATGGCCGAGGATTTCAATGGGGTTGTGCCAGCAGCGGGACCAGGCAGTGGAACGGCATCGCAGCTGGAGAACTCGGAGCAAGTGGAGGTGCGTGTGTCTGGAGTGGCACGTTCTCCCATGACAGCCCCTCCAGGCTCCATCTCAGAGGTTGGGGCAGCAGGAAACCTCCTTTCTTTGCTTCTGCTCTCAGGGGAAAAAGGTTCCTTTTGGGATGGGCAGCTCGACCTGCTGGTCAGCTGTGTGCTGCCTTTAGAGAGTCCTGGGCTGAGGGCACGCTGGGCTGTGTGTAAGGAGAGAGCTAGTCTCGTGAGCTGTCAAAGCCTCCATTTCCCCTCTGCCACATGAAGCAAAATCCTCTCTCCTCTGAACAGATCACACAGGAGCTGCTTTGGTTGCAGTTGTGTGCAGTACCGGGTCTCACTGCTTGGCTAACCGGAAGCCCCTCCGGGGGACTGCCGGGCTCCACTGAGCCAGTTTGGAAACCTCATCTAGTGCTTTCTCTCCAGGCTTTGCCAGAACACCAAATCTGTGGCTGCACTGATTGGCCACTGAGCCATGTGTGCGGGGAGGCAGCATGACATAGGGATTAAGACCACACAGTCTCTCAAGTAAGGCAACTCAGGGGTGTATCCTGGTCCCGCCACTCGCCAGCAGTGTGGCCTTAGGCACAGTCACTCACATTGAGCCTTAGTTCCTCATCTGTAAGATGGGGCTAGTCGTCTCCATGAACTTGTTGGCATACCTAGAGTTGCTGCGTGGAGCTCTCTGAACTTGGCTGGCCCTCGATGCCCTGTTAATAGATGCTGATGTTCTGTTAGAGCCCAGGTGCCTTAACTGTCACAGGGCCTTGGAGAATGATACTCCCCTTCGCCTCTTCCCTCCTTTTTCCCCATTTGGCTTTTTATCTGAGTCATAGAAGGCTTTGCTTTGTGTGTGTGTGTGGTTTTTTTTTTTAATTTGGGAATTTCTTTAAATGAAAAGCCTAACAAAATTAAGCCACATCAAGAAGTCTATAAACCAAATCCCTTTTGAAAAGCATATAATTAAAGGGGAGCACCTCCACACAAGCCAGGCCTGGTGCTTGCTGCTCCCCTCCAATGCCAGCCATCAGCTTGTTGGGGCGGGAAAGGACCGTGGTTAGTAGAAGCCACAGCTGTGCCAGGCACTGTGCTCATCACTTTATGTGCACTATGTCCTCGATCCATTTGAAGCTGCCCTGTGAGGCGGGTGGTAGTATGTCTGCTTGTTTTATAAGGAGGAGACTGAGGTTTGGAGAGAAGCAGCACCTGACAAAGTCACGCAGCCTGAAGTAGCTCCCCCAGTAAGCTCCCTTTTCACGGGCCAGGGAATGGAGGCTCAGAAAGACCTGAGTCATTTGACTAAGGTGCTACAGGGGGGCGCCAGGACTCAACTCTTGTCCCCTGTTTCCTGGCCCAGTGCTGTTTGGGGCCTGTTGCCCTAGCACCCACCTGCCTTCGCCTTCCTCCTTCACTCAGCTCTCTCCACAGTGCTTGGGGGCAGCTGCTGCCCCGGGCCCCGCTGTGTGCGGTGTGGAGCTGGACTCCCTCATCTCCCAAGTGAAGGACCTGCTCCCAGACCTCGGGGAGGGCTTCATCCTGGCCTGCCTGGAGCACTACGGCTATGACCCGGAGCAGGTGATCAACAACATCCTGGAGGAGCGGCTGGCCCCTGCCCTCAGCCAGCTGGACCGAAGCCTAGACAGGTGGGAGAGACAGGTGGGAGGAGGCCCGTGGCACCCAGTCTGCTTCAGTGTCCCTGCAAGAGGGCTCTGCAGGCCCTTCTCAGGGCCCCTTCTTAGCTCCTCTGCCTCCCACCCTTCCTTCCCTCATGTCCCAGAACTCAGCTTGCTCTCTCCTCCCCCGAGAGGTGTTTCCTGAATAATGCCTGTTTGGGGACATACGAACACTGTAGGCCCCTCTCAAGCTTTTCATGGCCCCTGTAAGGCAGAGAGTGCACCTGGGCATCCCTGCAGACCTGTGGGAAAACCAGTTTGAGACGTGGATGTTAAAGGGGATGCTGAGCCCTCAGAGCTCCGCAGTGGCTGGTCTGCCCTGTCCTTGCCACCTTCCCAGGAGGTTCCCGAGGAAGGACGGTTGAAGCTTCCTTCCTTCCTACCTGTCCTTTCTGGGTTTGGCCCACGGCTTCCTCGAGGGTTCGTGGGGTAGCAGGAATAAGGGATGAATGGGTGTTTCCTCCGCGAACAAGTGAATCGTTGGAAGTGAAATGTTAACTCTGCCTTTGGACAAGTTCCTCAGCCTCCTTATGCCCGTGTTATAGATGAGGACACTGCCATGCAAAGAGGCTGAGCAATCTGTGACACCTAGCTCACAGGGCTGTTCTGAGCACTAAAATGAGGGAGGGAACTTTGAAGAAAACTGTGAGTGGCAAGCAAGACCAAGGGGGGAGCTTTGTGTAAGGTGGGGGTCACACAGGTAGGGGCCAGATAGGGCAGGTGTTCACCTTGTGTCCCAGGTGTGGCCATTGAAGGAGAGTGGAGAACATGAACATGGTGATGGGCTGGGGTGCAGGCAGGCATCAGCTGGCCGGGCCCCCTTACACGGATTTCACCCCCAGACAGGTGAAGCCAGACCCAACGCCTCTGCTGACTTCTCGGCACAACATCTTCCAGAACGATGAGTTTGACGTGTTCAGCAGGGACTCGGTGGACCTGAGCCGGGTACACAAGGGCAGGAGGTGAGTGTGGCGGGCTGTGGGGTTCCAGGCACCCCAGCTCTGCAACAGCAGCTAGAAAGTGAGAGAAACCAAGGGCTTCATCTTTATGGAACTAGCCTGAGTTCAGCTCAGGGCTCCCTGGCAGCCTGAGACCTGTGTGTTCCCAACAGGCACTTTCTTTTCAGTTGGGTGCAGGTTCTTTAACAATTATATTTCAGGCTGTGACTCTGCATGGGGTGGTTTTAGTGAACCCTCCTTGTTGACAGCAAAAGGCCAGAGGGGCCAAAACTCTTCCCTTCCTCTTACATCTTTGGTTATGCCCACCATTGAATCTCTGGATGGTGGAGCTGGGCAGTGCTTCCCAGAACCTCTCCGTGACCGATTTTCTGCAGTCTGTGACAAAAGGAGAAAATTAAGGACCTGTATTGAGTGAGCATTTCTGAAGGTGAACACGTTTCATTTTAAGGCCTTTCTACATACTGTATGTATCGTTTATGTCCTTCCTACTCTTTTGGCATTGAAAGACCATTCATGATTTATTCATTCATTCAACAAATATTTGTGCAGTGCTTATGGCCTTCTAGGCCCTGGATTTATTAGTTTCTGAGGATCTAGTGGAGAGTGAAACAGACACGGCCCCTGCCCACGTGGAATTTGCAGTAATCAGTTCATCAAACAAGCAATGTAAAATCGCAGATATGACACGTACTACAAGGTGAAGGTGAGCAGACTTCAAAGCCTCTGGCAGGTGCTTCGATCCAGGCAGGAAGGCTCTCGTGGGGAAATGACAGGAGACCAAGAGAGGAAGGGTAAGGATGGGTCAGCAAAGTGGGGAAGCAGAAGCTTTCTAAACAGAGTGAACAGCGGGGGCAGTGGCCCCAAGGCTGTGAGGAACATGGTAACAGCCCCATGAGCCAGAACACTATGTTTTGGAAAGGTCACCTGACTTTGGAATGGAGACCCACAGGAGGGACTGAGAGTCAGCAGTGGTGGTAGAGAGGACAGCGTAGTAGAGAATGGCAAATAAGACATCGACGACTCAGTGCTAGCCTCCCAAAGTTCTCCTAAACAGTGGTGCTTTATGAAATCCAGAAATCTGGGCACTGCTGGACAAGTGCAGCCTGCCCTTTCCCTCGTCCCACAGATGGAGACAGTGCGGTTCAGACAGGGGTAGGGACCTGCCCTGTTCTTTTGATAGGAGCCCCAGTGACAGAATTTCAGGCTGCTGCTTCCGTGAAGTCCCAGTACTGTTTCCCCTCCCCAGCGCCATCCAGTGCTGGAAGCTGGGCTGGCCAAGTGCTTAGGGAGCAGGCACAGAACAACTATAAAGTTATCTGGCTGGCTGGACAGGAAGCAGTTGTAATCTGCTTAGTCACATACATTGCAACATCCCCAGATCATAGGCCAGAGATGGTATCCTGCATCAGCGGCCACTGTTCCATGGCAGAATGACCTTCTGTGGCTTCTGCTGTGGGGAAAGGGGCACACAAGGAGGGCTGTGCCCCTGTCCATAGGGTGCTCTGGGCTGCCAGGCAGAGAGTCCGGGTGACAGATGATTACCGAACTTATTGTGACAGGTCACCCAGGGGCTGAGGTTTGCAAAGAGGCAAAGCCTCCATTCATGTATTCATTATTCACTCAGCAAATATTTATTAAGCGATTTACGAGCTCCAGATTCTGTGCTAGACAGTAGGGAGACAGAGTGAACAGGGCACCCAGGCCTTGCCCTCAAATAGCACAGAGACCGTGGGAAAGAGACCATTAAATAAGCCGCAGTAAAGTGGGAGAGGTGCTGGGATGGGGCACACAGGGGCCTGAGCGGGCACACCGGTCCTAATCTGGGTAGGGCAGAGGCGTTCAGGGCCCTAGGCCCTGCCCTCAAAGCCCACAGGAGAAATTAAGTAGCACAAGGCAGGTCGCACTTGAATTAAAACGTGTGTGTTCTTAAATCAGGTAGGGTGCACTCAGTGGCTCAAGTAACAAAGAAATCTGTTCCCTTGCATGACACGAAATTTTAAGCTGGGCAGCCTTGGCTTAGTTAACCCGTAGTAAAGCCACATCATCAAGGATTCATCTTTTCTGTCTCTTGGAGCTGGTTCCCTCAAGGCCACTGGGTGGCTGCTGCTGTTTGTGCCATGACCTCCAAAAAGAACAGTGGCAGGAGGAAGTCTGGACCAGGTCTTACCGTATCTCTCTTAGAGACCAGGAAACCTTTCCCGGAAGCCTCCAGAATCCCACCCCCCCCACATCTCTCTGGGGAACTGGGTCACGGGACTGAGGTCCAGAGCTCCAGAAGAAGGGGGAGGGCGGAAAGATCTGAACAAAATGAGGTACTGTTAGGAGTGGGGATGAGACAGAGGCGGCTATTGGGTAGTTAACCAGGCACAGGTGCTGCAGGTATATCCTAGCTAAATGAAGGAGGCAGTGTGTGTAAGGTGGGGGTCCCCTAATTCCTTTGGACTCGACAGTGGTACCCTGAAAGATAATAAATGTTTTCCCCCGAAAAGGTTCAATGGCCGAAAACGTCTGGGCACTCTTTCTGCCTCTCGGAGAGTCCCAGGGCAGAATAAAGGCTCTGACAAGGCCTACAGTAGAAGAATTAGGATTCACTGTGTTGAGCCCAGCAGGGGGCAGGTCCACTTCCACTCTGACATCATCCCTGGGAGGCAGAACTGAGACTTGGCAAGGATAAGGGACCTTCTGTAGTCTCATAGCTAGGAAAGCAGCAGAGCAGACTTGAGGCAGGAGGCCTGTGCTCTGGCCCTGGCCCAGCATGTAGAAGCCGTGCAACCTTAAGGTTACCCTGTCTCTCTGGATCCCCCGATTTCTCACCTGGAAGAGGAAGGGTTTATTGCCTCTGCAGGCCATTTAGAAGTTTGAAGGTAGGCGTCACTCTCCTAAGGGCCAGTGTGAGTAAGCCTTGAATAGGCTAGAGGAAGTGGGGAGGGGAAAGGTAGTCAGGCTTCAGGGAGCCCGCTTGTTTCCTGGGCTCATTGTCACCTTTAGGAGGCCAAGGAAGCAAACTGCTCCAAAGACCATCTCCAAAGTCACTGCTGCCTGCATTTTCAGACTTGACTGAAGTTCTGGCCCTCAGATGGATCTTTTCCCGGCTAGTTTTACCCCTAATTTTTTTTCTTCCTGACTCTGGATGAGGTCATGGAGCCAAAAACACACCTCCCTAGATGTGGTAGACAAGGTGCCCAGGCTGTGTTCTCTCCCAGGGTCCTGCTGGGTGGGTGAGTTAGCCAGGCTTCTCTATCCGGCCCTGCCAGGGAGCCACCACACACAGAGACTGCCAGTACAAAAGGACTGCCCTCCTTCCTGGAACCTGGGATAGTGCAGACCAGGAGCCATGGATATAGCAGAAAGGACAGTGACACCTCTCACTCATCCTCGGTCCCCTGGCCCAGTGCAGATCTGGGCACCTAGTAGGCCCTTAGCAAATATGTGTTGAATGAATGGATGTGCTCCTACCAGTGGCACCAACTCCTTAGACAAGATTGGTCTCCTTTCACTTCCTCCATTTCTTTTCTCCTCAGCCCCTAACTGGGCAAGGAGAGCCACAGAAGGGCCAAGGTCACAGTCACAGGACCTCTTTCCTGGTGTGATGTGAAAGATTTCTGTGGATGGAGGTTTTTCCTTTGTCTAGATCAAACCCCCTTCCACCATAGATCCTCCATTACCCCTTCCTCCAAACCCCCAGATAGGACCCCTGAGCCAGAGTTCATTCCTCCTTTCCCTGAGCGTCCATTCAGCACATTTCATCTTGGCTGCTATTTTCCTGTCTGTCACCCCCACTAGACTATGGGTTCCACAAGGTCAGATTCATATCTTACCCCTTTCTGAATCCCTCCCCAGCTCAGCCTAGTACCCTGCCTGGCACATAGCAGGCCCTTAGTAAAAACTGTTGAAAGAGATCCAATCCTAACCCACCATGTTGGGGGCTGCAGTCCTGACCTGCCGTAGGGTCAGTGGCTGCCAGACAGACTCAGAAGGCTGCCCCTCCCTGCACCAAAGGCCAGTTAATAGAAGGTTCTTATGGGAGCTATGAATGCTTTGCGTGTCTCCCCCCACCCCTGATACATTCCAGAGACCTGGTTTCACAGCTAAGCTGGATTTTCTTGCCTAGCATCTCAAATTGATTTTCCCCTGTAGTGCTCAGAAGTACATTCCACAGGCCCATGTGTCTGACAAGCCAGATTTTTCTGCAGATTTGCAAAGCCATGAGTCAACAGGCCCGAGTCCCCATTGTGGCTGTGCTACAGCCCATGGTGATCCCGGGCAGGTGCCACCTTGCCATTCCCCCGACCTGAGTTTCCTCACCTGTGACATGAGGAGTGAAACTTTCAGGCACCTTCCCCCCATGCAATCTGACATGGAAGATTGAACATAGACCGATTAGAAGGCCACCGTAGTGAAGTGTGGGGGTGAGAGAAAGAAGCTGGGACCCCTCCTGACCTCTCACACCCCAAAGGTCCCCTGGGGCTCCCCTGAACTCAGCAAAAACCCCACACGTGGCCTTGCTCTTTCTTCAGTTTGTTGTAAAAGGTTCAAATAACCCAGGCCCTCCTGAAAGTCACCATTGTCATTTGGGGGGTCCCACGGGCCCCTTTCTGTGCATTCACATGCACGGACACATATATGTGTATGTCCACAGGAACAGATCATTGGTCTTGTTTGCTTCCAGCTTTTTAGAGAGATGGGATGTGTGCGTTTTTCCATAGCTAGACTCTTTCCTCCTCAGAATTCTTTCTCCGTCCCCACAAATAGGTCAGCGTCATTCTGGAGCACTGGCACAAGGCGCTCTGTGACACAGGTGTGGCGCCGACCATTCGGCCTCCCCACTGGTGGTGGACCTTAGCTGCTTTCTATTTGCCCCGTTAGCAAACAATGCTGGGAAGAAAATCCCCGGCGAGGCCTCCTAGGGGGGATGCCTTGAAGGGGTGCTTTCTGGTTGAAGGGTAGGCGCATTTTATGTTCTGACAGTTGCTCCTGGGATGCCCTGGCAAGTACTGGGCATGGTCACTTAGGCACCAGGAGCTGTGAGTCCCACCTGCCCACACCCCACTGGTGCTTGATATCGGTTACTCCATGTTGTGCCTGCCTGAGGGGTGAAGAAGAGAACCTGTGGTCTCTGGACCCTTAATGCAACCTTCAGAGCCTGAGGTTTCTCCCTCTTCTCTCCTTTGCTGTTTCCTGTCCATGTCAGGAAGGGGGAGAGCACACGGAGCCTGCTGAATGACAAGCGGGAGGTGGCGGCTCAGCGGCAGCGCTATGAGCAGTATAGTGTGGTGGTGGAAGAGGTAGGTGTCCCCAGGCCACTGGGCTTGTGCTGGGCCAGAGAGACCAGCCAGCCCCTGGGCCCCTCGGACCCACAGTTCTGCCATTGCAGGTGCCACTGCAGCCAGGTGAGGGCCTGTCCTACCATGGTGATGACTATGAGGACGAGTATGATGACACGTACGATGGCAACCAGGTGGGTGCCAATGATGCCGACTCCGATGATGAGCTCATCAGCTGCAGGTGAGGCTATAGGGCAGGCAGAGGGCGGAATTCTGGGGGCAGAGCGGCTTTTGGGGACCGTGGGGCTCTCCCATAACCTGTTCATACCGATGGAGAGGCCAAGGCCTTACCATATGAGCAAATCAGTGGCAGAACCAGGGCCCAAACCCAGGCCTCCTGACTCCTGGTCCATTGCTCTTTCCAACCCAAGTCTCCTCCTTGGCTGGTTGGTCCAACCCACCCTCAGTGGGAACCCGTTAACTTGGTTACGTTGTTCTTGACTGCAGAAAACTTTTGCCAGTGGAATCATATGGAGATTACCCAATACAGATAAAAACAGAGCTAGAGCCCCCACAGTCCCAGCTCAGTCTCCCCTGAGCTCGAACATCAGACTCTGGTACCCTAAAAAAATCCAGGGGCTGGAGCAAAGCTGTCTTGAGAAGTACTTCAGTTCTGCTGGGCCTCCTGAGTCTCCCCCATCAGCCCCCTCACCCAGACTCATTCCCTCTTCCCTGAGGCTCTCTGAGTTTAATCTTGTCTTTGATCTTACTTTCTCTCTGAACCCTTAGGCCCTTCACCATCCCTCAAGTGCTAAGAACCAAAGTGCCCGTAGAAGGGCAAGAGGAGGATGAGGAGGAGGAGGAGGATGAAGCTGAAGAGGAGGCCCCCAAGGTACGTCCTTGGCAGGTGGCAGACGAAGGGAGGGAGCGTGCAGTTCTAAAGGGCAAATGGAGAGCAATGTGCCCCCTTCTCTTTGGCCTCGAGGCAGCCCCAGCACCACTGCCGAGAGAAGAGGGGAGCCTTCCAGCCCAGATGTCTGCTGGGAGAGCTGCTGGCTTAGAACTCACCTCCGATGCCCGGGGGGTGCCAGGGAATGGATCAGAGGCTTCTGGGTTCATTAGGCTCAGGAGCCTGGGAGCCGGAGGAGGGCAGCTGTCTGCCTCCGTGCCCGAGATGGCAATTTTTAAAATCAGAGAGGTGTCAGAGCCCAAGGGCCTTTGGAGGCCATTTGAGCTGGTACGTTTGAAAATGTCATTTTTTTAGCAGCTGAATATTTTTTTCAAAGAAAATCTTAACTAGAAACTCAACACTTAAAACAGTTAAAAGTGGTACTGCTCAGGTTGAACGGAATAGCAGCCAGTGACCCTTAGATCCCCAGGTGCCCCCCCCTTCCCACCAGGGTGACAAATGCAAGTGTGTCCTGGTGGAACCTGAGCCTAGTACTGGGACAGCATTCACACCCTGTCAGCGGGGCAGGGGAGCCCTTAGCACAAGAGTAAACCAGTGCTTCCAGGGCTTTCCCTTCTTCCAGGCAAGGAGGCTGCCTTTTATGTAAAATCTTCCAGTTTTCAAAGCTTACTCATTCTGCTTGTTTTGTTTGTGATTTTTTTAAATAGCACGGGCCACCACAGTCTGTGGTCTGTGGTCTTCCTAGTCCAGGCCCCTTTCACTCTTGGCACAGAAAATGGTCCTCGAGAGTGGACGTTCCCACAACATGGTGGCGGTGGCGGTGCCAGCGTGAGAACAAGTCAGCTTCCAGGGGCCACTCTCTTGGCTTTCAAGGCTCCACGTGGCCTCTCATGGTGGCCATCCTGGCCTTCCCTTCATTGCTCCCATTTATCATTTTTATGCCCCAGCTGTGGCCACCCACCTATGATGCCTGTCCAGGAAGACCTAGTCCCTTGTGCTGCCTCCCTCTTGGGGAATCGGTGGAAGGGACAGAGGAGGAGCCTTCTAGTAGAAACCCTGGACCATAGCAAGCCCACTGCCGTTCCGGGGCATTGCCCTGCCGTGCTGCTGCTTCTCCCGACCCCTGGGAGGGAGGCAGCAATGAGATTCAGTCAGGCGCAGCCTCACTGCAGCTTAGGGGTGTCGGACGGCTCGTGAGTCTTTTCCCTTCTTCCTTCCACAGCCCGACCACTTTGTGCAGGACCCTGCGGTGCTTCGGGAGAAAGCAGAAGCCAGGCGCATGGCCTTCCTCGCCAGGAAGGGGTGAGGTTGAAGGTGCTGTTTCTGGTGGGAGGGAATCCTTCTGGGGACGTCCCAGCCAAATACCCAGGAAGCCCACACAGAAACCCTAAGTATGTTATGTGTATTAATTGACTTCACAACAACCCCATGAAGTAGCTACTATTACCATTATCCTCATTCCACAGAAGAGGAAACTGAGGCCCAGAGATGTTAAATAACCTGCCAAAGGTTACCGAGCTAGTAAATGGTGGAGCAGAGATTAATTAAACCCAGGTGGCTCAGCTCTGGGGGTCCACGCTTCTAATCATTATTTGACAGACACGGGAATTTATCGCACCTAGCATGCGAGCCCAGTGCGTCCAGAGCTAGGTGGTGTCAGGCAGAGTGTAAAGTGTGAAAGAGCCCAGGCAGGCAGGCAGACAGACATACAACCTCTGTGGCTGAGAGGCATGGTAGGGATAGGGGCACTTGAGCTGGGCCCTGGAGGTGGAAAGGGTGCAAAGGAATTTGTCATGTGAGGATAGAAAGGCAGAAAAGCACATGTATGGTCAGGGAGAGGTGTCCTTTCTCGGGAAAAGCTGGGAATACATGACCAGAGGCACCTCTAATTCATCTCCCTAGTCTTTCCGGTGAGAAAATAGTCCAGAGGGGCCAAGGACCTGCCTGTGAGCCCTCCTCCAATGAAGGCCAAGCCAGGGGTGGAAGCCCAGTGCCCCATCCTGGCCCTGGGACTCCCACAGCACTGCCCACTTGGTGCGGGAGGCCTCACCTTGGAGGGAAGGCATTGGATCTCATTCTGAAGGCAGGAAGAGAGAGCCACAGGAGGTTTTTGAGTAGGAAACAGCGACTTTAACTTCCCTTCTGTTTCAAACCCCTGAGTACAGAGCTCTGGGTAAAGCCAGTAGTTGAGATGGTCAGAAAAGGTCCTTAGGTCTTGTCTGTGCGTGCACTTGGTCTTTGAAGGCCACCAAGCAAGGCCCTGGGGTATAGAACAGTATTATGTCATCTACAGCACAAGGCCCTGGATGGGAAAGGGAGAGGACCCTTCCCCAAGCCTTCTTCCCCTCCCTGTGTGGGCCGCAGTCAGCCCACTAGCTGTTCCTTCCTCAAGCTTAGCCAGGGTCCCATCTGCAGGCAAGGCTCAGAGAAGAGGAATTACCAGGCACAGGGTGGCCCAGAGCCCCCGTGGCCCTGCCCCTGCTAGGCTTCATTCTCTTCCCACTGGAAATTAGAAGTCGGGTATCCTGGCCCAGGCTATGTGTCCTCTCCCAGGGATCTTCTAGGAAGGGTGAGCTCTTCCTGTCAGAGCCTGTTCTGGCTGATGGGTTGGTTCTCCTGGGGTTGGGTTGTTCGACCCTTAGGTACCGGCATGACAGCTCGACAGCGGTGGCCGGCAGCCCTCGGGGCCACGGGCAGAACCGCGAGACGACCCAGGAACGCAGGAAGAAGGAAGCTAACAAGTCCACACGAGCCAATCACAACCGGAGGACCATGGCCGACCGCAAAAGAAATAAAGGCATGATTCCATCCTGAAGCCGCCACGCCAGGGCCAGGTGGGAGGCAGCAGTGCCAGGCCCACCAGGCTGCAATTTCTATGGCCCGAGGCCTCCTCACCAGGACCCCAAGTTCAACTCGACCCCTCGACAACCTCAGCATTGCAGCCCCTGAGAAGGCCGCCTCGTTGTCCACCTGCTAAGTGTGAGCACCTTCGTCAGAACACACAGTGCCTTATCCCACAGCAGAGGAGTCCATGGGGCCAGCAAGCAGGCAAAAGAGATGGGGACAGAGCCCCAAGGCAAACCTCTTGCAGCAAGATACCACTCCCCTTTTTCTCTGGACACCAGGAAACCTGTATATTCAAAAACAAAAACAACAAAAGGCCTGCAAATAAAGCGTTTAACCCTCGTAAGCAATCACCCATGATGTGCCCTTGGCCCATCTCCCTCTATCCCATCCATTCTTCAGTGACAGCCACTGTCTGGAGGGGAAGAGGGCCAGATGTCGCCGTGTTCTTCTCATGAACATTTTCTGCCTGCCTCTCATTGTGACCCTTCCTGATGTGGCCCTGCCTTGCTGTGTGTCCCTGAGAACAGCACTCCCTTCTCTGAACCTCCCGTCCCTGCTAGTGGAAGAAAGGACCTAGGTTGTGAGGTCTGTCGTCTCATTTAGTCACCGCCACCTCCACCTGAGGACGTGGGCTCTGGTGTCAGCCCCAGAGTACCAATGAGGCAGGCAAGGCACTGAGATCTTAGGGTGCCTGCCCAGGCCCCAACTAGGAAGTGGGGGAGCAGGGAGGGACACTCAGTCGACCCCCAGCCTTTATGGGGCCCTAGCCACTCCCTGTGGGCGCTGTCACCCCTGTCTCAGCAAGCCTGAGGACAGTTGGCCCGCGGCAGAGCCAGCACCAGAACTCAGCACCGCCTGGTTGCACATACACTCACATCCTCCAGAATCGAGGGGTCGGAGAGCAGCAGAAACAAGTGAGGATGCTACTGCCAAGCCCTGTTAGAGTGAGTGGGACTTGGGCCTAGTCCCTCGGCCCCTCCCAGGCAGGGCCAGCTGGCTCCTGGTGTGGCAGCAGCTACCAGGCATCCCAATTCCTGGGCTCCCCGGAGGGTTGCTGAACAATGGAGGGTCAGTGGTGGGGCATTTGCTGGGTGATCCTAGCACAGCCCAGCCTGCAGTCCATCAGTGGGAAGCCAGGGCCCCTGCCCAGCTGGACCTTGACAATTCACTTGAGTGGCTAGTACAATTTCTTTGCATGTGATTAGGATGAGCGTCTGAAGCGACAAGGCAGACAGGCCCGTGATGAATTGGTTTTTTTAGGTCAGCCCACACAAGTGAAAATCAATAGCAATTCTGTGTCACGCCGGTTCTCTTGGCGCATTGGAGATGCTGAGCAGATATGGGGGTGGAGTCCTCCGCTCCCGCTGCTGAATTAGCTGAGATCAGGCCTGGGGTCAGCCATCCCGACAGGCAGCAGGAAGACTCTCTTTCCTCCTGTAGGCATTTGCCAGGGCAGGGGCAGAGGCCGTACTGAGCTCGTCAGACCCAGCTCTCGTCCCTGCAGCGAAGGGAGGCGGGTTGGTGGAGCTCCTGGGCTTCACTGGTCATACCTGTTACTGGTCATAGGGCCCCTCTCACTTTCACGTTGTCGTCTGTCCCTCCTGACCACCAAGGGTGGTATTCGGGCCTCACAGCTTCCTGGTTTAAAGGACTTGAGAAGACAAGTGATTTTTTAACATTTTCCGGAATGTCGTGCCATGTCAAATTAAGTCTCCCTGAGGAGCTATGTATTTGCTCGTTTCAGACCTTGAGTACACCCTTTCAGGGATGCTTTGAAAACGGCTCCGGGGTCATCCAGAATGGTGCTGGTGGGCACACCCCTTCACTACGGAAGTCTCAGTTTTCCCATCTGCCAAGTGGGTGTGTTGGACCAAATGCATGGTTTCCTTCTGGTGCCCATTAAATCCTCTGAGGAGGCCCCAAGGTTTTAGATGGGCAATGGCAAAAGTGCTACAAGTGAAGTGGAGTGGGGGCCCTGAACCCTGTGCACTGGCTCACTGGGGCCCACCGGCCCTACTACCATTCCCCAGCAGGAGTGTGCCAAGTGCCTACTCTGTTCCCTGGCAGAGAACACGACTGTGGCAGGCATTTCCCAGGAAGCTTTGAGACCTTGTGCCTCTGAGAGAACTTAAGACTCGTCTTTGTTTTGGGTCCACGAGCAGCAGTGCAGTGATGGTTACTGTGTTTGTTTGAACAGCGCTTCTGTGCCTCTCCGAGTGGGTGGACAGAGCCTGTCGTTGTTTACAAGAGGGAGCCAGGAGCACAGGGAGTAGCTTGCCCAAAGCCCATGGCGAGCTGACGGCAGCGCCTGGATGCAGGTCCTGTCTGTCCTGCTCAGCAGCGCCCGGATGCGGGTCCCGCTTAGGCAGGCAGGCGCCGTCTGGAATGCACAGTGCACTTCACATGCGCTGTGAAGACGCCGCCTGCCCCTGTTACACAAGGCGTGTGGGGTCAGTGATCCAGAAAGGGAGACAACACTAAAAATAAACCCACCAAACATGCAGGGCAGTTGTGGAGCGCCCCTTTAAATGATGTCAGTGAAAACTGACTAGCCTCGAGGACACCCTTAGTTTCCCACCACGTGGGAAACGAAATATTCAAGAATAATTTTTTTTATTTGAAAGCAGAAAACATGATGGTGTTGCACCGTGATTGTGAAAATATTAAAGAAAAATTTAGCTTACAGACCAGATCTGGAAGGGAATGCGCATAAATGAAAATGGTGAGACCACTGTGATTTGTAATGAGAATAAAATCAATTACCAAGTACTGACCAAGGCCAGGGGTTTCTGCTGGGCTCTTTTCTTGTATTATCTTGTTTTAATCTTTGGGTACAGATGAGAAAAGCAAGGTACAGAGAGGGTTTGCGACCTGCCCAAGGTCACACACTTAGCAGGTGACTAAAGAGGACTCAGTCCCAGAATTGTCCCCTAGAGCCCACATTTAGTCAGTCCTTCAGCCAATAGCCACTTCCCTCTTTCCTCTCTCTGCATCCCTGTTAACTGCTCTGAAAAAGAAGAAAATACAAGTAATATAGCTGCAGAACAAGAGGATGGGAAATCCGATCTCATCAGACCAGGCTGATGAGATTCCAGGTGCGTGTATATTGGACCATTTGATACTGTCTCAATTCTCAGACGCTGTGTTCCATTCTTTTCACTTTCTGTCTTCAAATTCATTTATCTTTTCCTCTGTGTGTCTAGTCTTCCATTAAGCCCACTGAATAGTTCTTTATTTTTGTGTCCTGTCGTGTTGTAGACCACTCTGCCTGGTTCTAGGAATTGTATCTCAACCCCTTGTGGCTAAGGGCAAGGGATGACCTTTGGATTGAGAGCCACAGGAGACAAAGCTTGTCTCTTGTAGCAAAGCTTGTCTCTGGTAGCAAAGCCTGTCTTTGGTAGTGTTATATTCATCGGACGCAAGCATAATTTTCGAACATCTTTCAGGGTTTTGATCTTATTTTATTGGCCAAGCTTAACCTGCCCAGGGGCGAACTCTCAGGGTGTCTGGAGACACAGTGCCCAAAAGGGCTGCAGATGAGAACGGCGCCGAGTGCTTACAGCTAAGTCCTTATATAGGGACGCGCAAACAAGCGTTGAACAGAAGCAGACGTGGCAGTTAGCTATTTGCTGACAGAGACCACGGGCGGGAACAGGGTGGGGTTTCAAAATTCAAAATTAAACAGATTACAATCTGCCTATCTCACTCTAAGTAGGGCACTCACACACTGCAGGATGTCTGCTCAGCCTTTGTTTGCATGCTGCTCCTTGTTCCTGCTTTGCTGTGGTCAGGCTATGTTCTCAATTTTCCAGATCTCAACAGAAGCAAACACTGCCTCAGTTCCTCTCCCTGCCCCCAAAGTTTGGTCGGACGTCAATGATGGGTAAGACCCCTCACAGCGGGGGCAACCTAAGCCAGACTCTATCACTTGGGAGGCCTTCATGGAAGGACTGGGGGGTGGGGCAGGGCTGCAACAGAGAGCAATGGACTCTCGCCCCCCAGCTTTGACATAGCCCAATTCCCCATGTTCTCTGGGAGAAGCGCTTCCTGGCTCTAATCCCCTTAAAGCCTGAATACCTGATGGAGAGAGGTGCAGCTCCTTGCCTTGCTAGAGTGTGTTCTGGGGGAAAATCTGGCATCACAAAGACTTCCTGATAAACCTGTGAAATCTGCTCTGCTAAGAGTGCTTTCATTCATAAGGTAAGGGTTCGAGCAAGCAACCCTAAAACTCTGTTCTTGACAGACTCTGACTCAAACTAAGCCCTCAGATTTCTTTGAAATGTTATCTACTCTTTGATCCTTGCTGCCCCGTATTCCTGTGTATTACAACCCAATAAAAGCCGCTGGAGGAGGGAGCTCAACGCCTTTTTCCCTTGAGAAACTGGTCACTGCTCACGGCCTTTTTCCTCTGGGAAAATGGCCACTTCTCCTCCCCAAGCAGGTCACATCATGTCTCAGTCATGTTTACTTTCATCCATGGCAGCTGGAGGGACTTGGGAGGAAAGTCACCCCGACACTGTCCCTCTTCTGGGGAAGTGGAAAAAAGGCCAGGGGTAGAAAAGGCACGTCAGCTGCCATGGGGACAGCAGAGCCTGGACAGTGCTATGGCCTGAGAGGGGCCAAGGGGACGGGGTAGGGCGGGGAGTCAAAGGGCCCAAGGCGCCTGTGGAAGAAGACAAAGGAGGAGGAACGAGTGCCGGGGGCAGGGCCACAGGCCGTGGCCTAAACATTTGTCCAGAGCATCAGCTTTGAATGTTTGCCGCCTGCTCTCAGAGCTTGAGGCGTGGCTGGTCCGCCCAACAGAGAGGCCGGGGCAGGGGAGGACGCACCCCCTCAGCACACGCTCAGCAGGATCCACCAGGTGCCAGGCACTGCACTGCCCCGTGTGAGAAAGACCCGGTACCCACCCTCACGCAGTTCATACTCCAGGGGAGATCTGGATGTTAAAACACTGGAGAAAAAGTTATTAGGAACAGTTATGCTGAGTCCTAATAAGTAAAGGAAGGAGTGAGTAGGCAAGGTCCACAGAGAGTGAAGGAGAAACACGAATTTGTTGTTCCACTTATTTAGGTATTCATGGTTGAGTCTTGTGTGTGCCCTGACTGAGGATCAAACCAACAACCTTGTGGCATCTGGACAATGTTCCAACGAACTGAGCTACCCAGCCAAGATCACAGCAAACCATTCCTAAATCTATAGGTGCTGGAGCATCAGGGAGGGGCGTTGACTATGGCCTGCGGCTGTTACGGTTCTGCAGCCTGAACCAGGGTTAACCAATCAGTCTAAAGTTGGCCATCTCCAGCCCTTTGTGTTTGTATGGTGGGCAGGTGGGGGAGGCAGGGGTGTCTTAAAATGAGCATGAGATTCTGACTTCACATCATACTGGAAATTCTCTTCCCACGATCGATAATCATCAAGAGAATGTTACACAGACTGGCAGAATTCAGAGAGCCTTAAAGGGCATTTAATTTCCAGAATTTCTTAACCTATTTAAACCTCCAAACCTCTCCAGTCTCAGGCCCTGGGTGTCCTGCAAACACCCGCTCCCCCCCTGGCAGTGGGAGCTCTCCCTGCTTAAGAATTCACTGCGCTCTGATGGGCCTTTCCCAGCCACGGAGGTTAGGCCAGGCTTCTCTTGCTGCGGTCTGAATTACAAAAACAACAGGTACTTAATTCTAGTTCCCCAAATAGGGAATTATGACATTGAATTTGCTTTTTCTGGCTGCGTGAGCCCACCCTCAGCACTTGGACACGTCCCTTAAGTGTTCTGTCATCCCAAGTAGTAATTATGGTTTTCTGCTCCTTAAAGTGGTTTTCACAGAAGCGCCTGGAAGAAAAGGGGCCCCCAGTGGGACGAGGTCCAATCATTTCTCAGCATTTAGGAGTTTCATTTGCAGGGTTTACATGCAGGCCCCTGCCCTGTCGCCCATCTCCTGGTCTGACTGATCTCCTTGGTGTTCATTCACAGGTACATTCCCAGGCCTCGCGTGCCCATGCTTTTTAATTGCTAATTTGTTCATACATGGGGCCTGGGTTGGTGAAAAGACCACTAGATTAAGGGTCAGGAGGGGTGGAGTTGGGCCCTGGACTTCAATAAGCTGTATATAACCTTGGCCTTGGTTTCTTCATGGGAGAAATGGGGATGATCATTCTCCTGGTCCTCTTGCCCCACAGGTACCGGTAATGATAAGAGATCGTAACGGGGGGTGGGGGGACACTCTCAAAGCAGTGAACCTGGCCAAATGGGAGAGAGCTATGAAGGGCAGAGTCCTGTCCGCTCAGCATTCAAGGCAGAGTGCCCACCTCTGCTCTTAATCACCTTGCCAGAAACCTCTTTGCACAAACCATCTGTTATTTCGAGGGGAACATGTTTACACACAGAATGCTGGGGTCCCAGGGCCACAAACAGCTGTAGAGCTGCCTTTGTCTGAATTTTTGCTGATAGTTCTCATCAGAAGGACGGAACCAGGGGGTGGCTTGAACTCCAGGTTTTTGCCTCCACAGATGGGTAAGTAAGTTCGGAGGTGAAACAGTCTCCCCCAGACCCTTGCCTCCAGGGGAGCCTGGGAACTGGGACGCTGACACAGTTGGATGGGATTCGAATAGAAGAAGGGGAGGCAGCTGTCTGCGTTCTTCCGTCAGACTCACCAGGTGCCGCAGGACAGATCCCAGGGGCAGAGCTTGGGCCCCAGGTCCAGCTGGGCTCTGTCACAGGAAGGAAGCAACAGATGAGGATCGGCTCAGCGACCTGCCAGAGGGGAGGTGTGCCGGCTGTCACATCAGGAAAACCAGAGTCCCCGCTCAGGAGGGGCCTGCACGGAAAGGCACTGGTTTCACCCCAAGAGTATTAACGGAGCATAGCATGCAACGGCCAGGCCAGAACTTCTCCTTGGGGAGCAGGATCCTCTGAATGGACAGCGGCCTATTTCGCTTTTGTCATTCAGAGCAGGGTTTGGCTTTGGGGTCAGAAGCAAGCTGGCCTTGGCCACTTCCTGGCTGTGTCACTGAGTAAGGCAGCCTCATCTCCCTGAGCCACGGCTGTCTTGTCTAAATTGGAGATGTTGGCAGGACGTCTGAAACAGGCTAGTAAACCCACAGAACCCTGCTCACAGGGAACCAGGAGATGGGGGGCTGGGGCTGCCGTTGCTCCCGCCAGCGTCCTGTGTGTCTCACCTTCTCACCCCCTCAGGGTAGTCGTCCCAGGAGCCTCTGGCTCAGGATGGCCTACACAAACAGGAGCTGGAGAGAGAAAAAAAGAGAGGCGCAATCCAGCCTAGTAAGTGTGTGTTGGACACCCTGGGGACCCAGAGGAGATAGCTGCTCAGCCTTAGGGGACTGGAAATGACCTCACTGAATCCTTGAAACAGAGACAGGTGATAAGCGTAGTTATTACCCTCATTTAGCAGTTCAGTTACTTGCTCGTGGCTGAGTCAGGATTCAAACCCAGGGTTGGCCAGCCTCTAAAACTTATATTTTCAGCCCCTTGGCTTTCCTTCCTCCCTAGAGCTGGGCACTTGAACCGGAAGACATAATTCCCCACATGTGGTTGACTAAGAACAGGAAAGAGGGTTTATCACCTTCTTTGTTTTAAATGCCATACTTCTGCTGATACAACCTATAACCAAGTTATTCCATTGACAAAGAGACAGGAGAAAGGAGGAGAGTAGGAAGCCAGGCAGAGTCCATTTTCCGAATCTCCCCTTTCCTGGTCTCCCCTGTCTGCCAGCAGGAGGGAGGATTGCTCCTTGGAGGGCCTGGTGTGAAGAAGGTGTTTCATTAGGAAAACTTAGTGAGCCAAGGAGATAAGGGATCACACGGAATGGCAGCCCTAGGGCAGGAAGTGGCCTCCGTTGGAGGCCTGTGCAGGAGGGGGACAGAGGTCTGCCTGACATCAAGAAGGAAGGGACATGGAGCAGACAGGGGTTGGTTATGTGGCAAAAGGTGTGGCAAAGAGATAACGGCTGCCCGAGGATAACACCTGGCTGCTGGGGTTCAAAACCGTGTTGGAGATGCTGAAATGGGCTTGTCAAGGCACACAAAGGGGATCACGGGAAAGCGATCGGGCCTCCGAGGGATGGGAGTATGTCAGGAACATGGTTTTATAGCAGCTGGGGCGTGGGGTGGGGGACCAGCGGGATGATTCAGCGGTAAGATCATCCCCACAGCTCTCAGCTGGCATTCGGTGGATTGAATATGCTAATTAGGCGCCGGTCCCTGAGGACAGCGCAGGGAGCCCCTGTTAATTTACTCACTGCAGACAACATTAGCTAACAAGCCTGTGCTGAGCGTTCACAAGCATTATCCCACATATCTTCCCAACCACCCTGTGAGTTATTATCATCATTATCCTATTTTCCACATGGGGAAACCAAGGCTCAGATAGGGGGAGCAACCCACCCAAGTTCGGTCAGCTGGAAGAGAGCAGATAGAGTTCAAACTCAGGCATGTTCCGTGTCCACCACCCATGCCTAGGCCCAAGGCAGGAGAGCAAAGGGACCACAGCAACGTCCCTATTTGGAAGGTTTATGAAGTGAAGTTGGAGGTAGCCTTGTTCTTATATGTCAGGCTAAGAAATTTGGACTTGACCTTGAAGGTGCTGGGAAGCCATTGAAGGTGTTTGAGAAGGGGAATTGATCTAGCAGCCTTCCAAGGATGCAGTGAAGAAGGGCCCAGCGGGGTCAAGAAAGGCTCTATGCAGGAGTTTTGAAAGGAGGGTAGGCCAGGGCAGGAGGAAGGCGGTCAGCACCCCTGTACTCAGACCATCAACCAAGTTATTCCTAGCCAACACTTTCTCTGCATTCCACCATTGCCTTGTCTTTGATGCTGGCTTGGGCCTGCCCTTGGCATTCAGTCTGTGCATAAACCCAAGCATATTGGGCTGAGGCCCCAGCGAAAAGAGAAAAATGATTTACATGGTGTGGAGCAGTGTATAGGAGTGTAGCCTCGAGCCAACTGTCCTGTTCCACTCTCACTAGCTGTGTTACCCTGGGCAAGACGCTTGACCTCTCTGAGCCTTGTTTCCACCTGTAAAATGGGGTGGAGATTAGCACCCACCTCAAATTGAAGATCCAGTGACACACAGCATGTTAACAGCACCCAGCCCAGGCCTGGCCCTGGGTGGGTGCCCAGAAAAGGCACTGTTTATATGTGTGTCTGTCTGTCTGTCTGTCTTATCTCCCGTGCAGGCTGGTGCCCGCCCCTGGTACAAAGTGTTCGTCCTTCCCTAGCACTCAAGCAGCTGCCATAACTTCCTTCTTGCCTGAGGAATTTGTATTCCCTCCAACTTTGCAGATTGCTCAGACATTTTAAATTCATTGATTTCTGTCCTCTCCTTGGAAGATCTCAGACTCATTTGTAGGACAGGCCTTGTTCTTTCTAATTGGAAGGGCTGGCTGAGTTACAGGATGGAATCTATTTATTTAAAACTTGTATGGCGTCCCCCCTCCTTATTACAAAAGCAGCAGCATGCTCAATGTGGTTCACACAACAAAGCGAAGAGGAAGAAAAACCCCATAATTCTGTCATCTGGAAATAATTACTGTTAGAATTTTAGTTCTTATCCTTCTAGTACTATTTTAGAGAAAGAAATGTACACATTGGTTTTCCACACACAAAAAAATGGGATCTTATAACACATACTCTTACCACCCCCTTTTCAGTTGATAAGACACTGTGAACATTCTTCCATTTCTTATTTTCATCCTTTCTTTTGGCTTAATAGTATTCTACTGTACTATGCTTTTGTACAGTGCCCTGTCATGTACTTAGGTTATTTCTCGTTGTAGTTACTAAACTACAATGAAAGCCCCCCTGGCTAAATATTTGTCCACATCCATGATTATTTGCTCAGGGTAAATTTTAGAAATAAAATTGCTGGGTCAACTTTTTTGGCTGTGGAATTAGCCTTCTCACCAGCAGGATTTGAGAATGATCAGTCTTATCTCTTTGCTCACACCAGGTATTATAATAATAAGAAAACCTTCATGAGTTTAATAAGTCGAAGCAAATCTACTTATTTTTATTTTGCAAATTCATTCTCGTGAAGCCTTGAGCAGTGGGTGGAGGCATAACATGGACCTGAGAAAGAGGGAGAGGGGAGTGGAACGCCCAGATTCGCCGCCTGGATCCCCCGCAGGAGCGAGATGCTGTCAGCCCTGCATGGGTTGGCCACGCCGGGAACTGCCCTGCCCCGGTCTACCTCCTTCCCTAGGCAAGCAGCCTCAGAGGGTGAGCAACAAGGCTGAAAAGGGCTGCCCTCTGCCCCTGCTCAGGACAGCTCTGAAAAGTCATCCCATTCTCAGAACTCCCGAGGGTCCAGGGTCAGCAGAGACCTCCGCTGAGACTGCGCCTCTGCATCTGACTCCTCCCCTCTGCCAGGGCTCTTTCCTTCCCCAGGCAGCATCCTTGCGTCTACTGGGGACAAGCCTAGAATGTTCTGAGGGCTGGGCTTTCCTTTTTTCTTTGAGCTGCCAGGAGTGCTTGGACTCCACCCAGAGCTGAGAAGTTCTGAGTCTTGGCAGGTACCGCTGGAGAACCAGATGCGTCCTGGGTAGCCCCTGGCTGGGCTAATTAAGCAGTCAGCCGGGCGAAGATTTACTGTACTTGTAATCCATACTCCCCTCGACACCACCTCCAGAAATAACAAGAATCACAGCTGCCACTGTGCAAGCTCACAGCCAGTATTTTACAGATGAGGAAACTGGCTCAGAGAAGGTGAGTAACTTGTCCGGGTTCACACAGCCAGTGAGTGGTAGCACTTGAACTCTGACCCAGAACTGTCCCTTCTAAAACCAGTACTCTTTACAATTCACCAGGGCTATTCAATGGTAATAATAACATGGCTTTTTGGATTATTGTTCAAGTTAAGTGACACGTAAACTGCAAAGCACTTAATACAATGCCTGGCTCACAGGAAGAAGTTGACAAATGTAAGCTACTAATCAGAGACCCTCCAGGGGCTTCCCTTCCTTCTTAGAATGAAATCCCAACTTTTTCAACATGGCCTACAAGACCACCGCACAGTGTCTGACACTCTCTACCACTCCCTCTGTTGTTTCAGTTCACTGTGTAACCAAGCTCACGCCTCACTCGGGGCCTTTGCACTTCACGTTCTCTTTTCCCAGAATGCTCTTATTCTTGATCTTTACCTGGCCGAAACTTCCATTCAGATCTCAGCTCAAGTCTTCCCTGACTACCTACCTGAGCATCTCACATTACTTATCAAACCCGAGTTGCTCTCTGTATGTTACCCAGTTTTATTTTATTCATAAATCTTAACGTGAGCTGATTTTTAAAAATTTATTGATTTGAGAGAGAGGGAGAGAGATTGTTGTCCCACTTATTTGTGCATTCATTTGTTGTTTCTTGTATATTCCCTGACTGGGGAGTGAACACATAACCTTGGTATATTGGGACGACGCTGTAATCAACTGAGCTACCAGGTGAGGGCCCTGAAATTCTTACTTAGTTTTTGTCTGTTTACTGCCTATCTCCCCTACTAGGATGGCAAGCTCCAAGATGGTAGGATCTTTCTTGTTCTCCACTATACACCCAAGTTCTTGAACAGTGTCAGGAAGAACAGGCACTCAATAAAGATGTATTGGTTGGATGGATAGATAGATGAATGAATGAATGAATGAATGAATGAATGAATGAATGAATGAATGGTTTCTACCAGTTTGGAGAGATATTTTTTAACATAAGAGGGAAGCGAGGGGAATACGACATCAGCTCAAATATTCTAAAGTCAGAGAGCCGTTCTGCTTGCTCAGAGCTATACCAGATGCCAACTTGTCAGAAGAGGATTTCAGACACCTGGGAACTTGCTTTATGAGACACCCAAGCGTTTAGCTTTTCCTAACACCTCTGCTAGGGGAGCAGGTGGGAGGTTCTCGGGGCTTTGTAACTACGAAGACTGTGCCAGCTCTGACTCCTGGAAATGCCTCAGGCTGAGCTTGGGAGAGAGGGTCAACTTTTTTCAGAAATAAACAGCTTCTTGGTATCAGTGTGAGGAGGGTGCTAATCCTCATATCCCCAACCTGTGAGACTTGTGAGGCAGACCCAGTCAGGGGGCTCTGGGGAGGCTCCGCTCTCACCTGGCAGTGCCACTCAAGGGCAAGTCCCTGTCGGGAGCTGAGGGAGGGCCCCTGGGCTGCTGAGCTGCCGGGATCCAGGCCTGCAGCCCGAGCCAGGGGCTCACATTCTGCAGTCTCTTTGTGTTCACACTTTCTCTTTTAAGGCAGCCCTTTAAAAAAATTTTTTACTCCTGTGTTATAAAAATAATACATGCCTGATGCTGAAAACTTAAAAATCAAGAGAACAAATACAACAGAAAACAACTCACCCAAAGTTAACCACTGTTAACAATTTGGTAGAAACAGTTCCAATTTTTTTCATATACATGTTTGCAAAAAGAAAAAGTACCACACACTACATAAATTTGTGACCCACCTTTTCCACTTAGCTTTATATTTTGACCATTTTTGTCTGTGAGCCTGATACATTTTTTACTTTACTGCTTTATTTTTATAATTTTGGGGGGGTTAGAATATCAACATCTGCTTGTTTTAGAATAGGTATTTATTACATAAATTGAAAGCTCCTGGAAGCCCCGCCCCTTGGAGATAACTACTGTGAAGACCAGCGCATAGTCCTCAGAATTTTGCATGTACGCATATCAATATGTGTGTATTTGTAGAAATGGGATCAGACTTAACAACCAAACATACCGTTTTGCAATTAGATTTCTTTTTCACTTAATCTATCTTTCTTTACCACTACACACAGAGTCATCTTGTGCATTTTAATGTCCACATACCGTAAATTTCTACAGTTTGAATCTACCTGTTTAGTAGTTAACCACTCCTCTATTGAAGGATCTTTTTCTTCTTCGATTCCCAACAATGCTCCAATGACTGTGTGTGTGTGTGCACACAAAATTCTAGAAATATTTTTCTAGGAGCAGAGTATCAGGGTCAAAAGGAATAAACAGTTAGAGGGCCAAACTGCCCTCTAAAACCATTGTTCCAATGCCAGGGGCAATGCCTGCTCTTTCACCAGAAAACTGGTCTCGCTAATCTTTTCCATCTTTGTTGATAATGCTGGGCATCGCCAAAAAAAAAAGGTATTTCATTTTGTGTTTAAGTACTAGTGAAACTGGGCATCTCTGTGGCCATTCGTATTTCTTAATTGCGTATTCATATCTCACCCTAGCTTCTTTTGAGTTATCTTCTTCCTATTAATTTGGAAGACTGCTTCATATAGTAGTGAGGTTTGGTACATTGGATATTTTCCTCCAGTTAAAACACGGTGTTAAATGACTGCATGCTTCACCTCAGTAGTAATTCCTGTTCGGGGTATTTTACTTGTTTTCATTTCCTCCCTGTTACAAACAACACCACGATGAACATCTTTTGTGAACATGCGTTTTTTAGGAGAATTTGCTGGAAGTGAAATTTATTGCGTCACACATGTACACATTAAGGATCTTAGTACATATGTACCAAAATATCTTAAAAGAAGATGGTGACACTGCACACTCTTGCCAATAGCACACGGGTGCCATTTCTTCACGTGTTTCATAAGATTAATTATATTATTATATCTTGGCCAATGTGATAGGTGTATTAGTTTCCTAGGGCTGCTGTAACAGATTAGCACATGCCCTGGCTGGTGTGACTCAGTGGATTGAGTGCTGGCCTGCACACCAAAGGGTTGCCGGTGTGACTCCCAGTCAGGGCACATGCCTGTGTTGCAGGCCAGGTCCCCAGTAGGGGGGCGCAAGAGGCAATCACATATTGATATTTCCCTCCTTCCTTTCTTCGCTCTAGAAATAAATAAAATCTTTAAAAAAAACAGATTAGCATAAACTGAGTAGCTGAAAACAACAGAAATCTATTCTTTCTCTCTCTTTTTAAAAATATTTATTTATTTCTAGAGAGAGGAGGAAGAAAGAAAGAGAGGGAGAGAAACATCGATGTGTAAGAGAAACATCTATCAGTTGCCTCTCGCATACCTCCCCAGTGGGGATCTGGCCTGCAAACCAGGCATGTTCCCTGACTGGGAATCGAACCAGCAACCTTTCTGTCCACAGGCCAGCGCTCAAACCACCGAGCCACACCAGCCAGGGCAGAAATCTATTCTCTTAAAGTTCTGGAGGCTAGACCTCTAAAATCAAGGTTTCAGCGAGGCCACACTCCCTCCAAAATTTTTAGAGAAGAATCCTTCCTCACCTCCTTCCTTGTTTCTGGTGGTTGCTGGCAATCTTTGGCATTCCTGAGCCTGTGACAGCTAACTCCAATCTGTCTCTGTCTTCATACGGCCTCTTCCCTGCGTGTCCCATCGTGGCCTTCTTCACGGGACACCAGCTACTGGGTTTAAGGCCCACCCCAATCCAGTGTGGTGTCACCTTAACTAATTACACCTGCAAAGATCCTCTTTCCAAATAAGGTCACCTTCTGAGGTTCCAGCTTGACGTGAATTTGGGGGGATACTATTTAATCCCCTACAACAGGTAAAACAGGTTTTATTATTTTAAACTTCAGCTCTTATCAAACAGAAACACACACACACAATAGCCCAGAAACACTCAGGACAAATAATGGGACATCTTACCTATAGACTGGCTTGTGGATACACTCGCTTGCTGGTGCGACTCAGGTGAGTCGGTATGTGCCCCACCTGAGGAAGGTGGCCCCCTGAGCTCATTCCGACTCTATTGCCCTGAGCAGGTACTGCAGAATAACAAAATAACTGTGAGAATGTTCCCTGCTTTACTTTTTCTTACCAGCACGTTGCCCTCAAATCACTGAGGAACTGTAACATCAGTGACAATTTTCAGCCCCAGGATGATCCTGTTTGATGCTGAAATCATTCCTAAAAGTCTTAGAATAGTCTCTCCTTCAGTTCAGGTCTTGATTCAACCCCCAGAACTGCACCACCATTGGCAGACCTTGCCTTAATCTCCATGGAGATGTGCCTCGGGCCAGACACGCGGTAACTCCTAGGGTCCTCCTGCCTTCCTCTGCCTGTTTCCTGTCCTGAGTCTTCCCCAATCCGTTGTCTCCAATCATGCCAGGGCACGGTGTGAAAGATGGTAGGCAAGCGACTACCTTCCCAGGCTAATTACAAAACAGACCCGCTTTGTATCTGCTCGGCACTCCCCAGAGCCGTGGGCCCGTGTCATACGTACGTATGGATGATGTTTAGTGCTCCCGCTGTTACATCCCGTATTCTATTTAGCACGTGCCTGGCACCTGGCTCGTGCCTTACGGCGGCCACCTGCACATTTGAATGACCAGAATACGTTTCTTGAACCCCTTTTCCTCATATTCCTATTGCTCCACAGTTTTCCAGCACTATCTTTTGGTTCTCTGGGTCCTTCAGCATCCCCCATCCGTCTGCCAGCAGTTACCTGTGTGTCGTTTACCGTGTGCCATGAGGTATGACTGTTATCTGCATTTAATAACGCCTGTAATACTCAGAGAAGGTACTTGCACAGAAGCTACTTCTATCTCCCCCACTTTACAGAACCGGAGATAAAGCTCAGCATGACCAAATGCTCTGCTCTTGGTTTACACAGCTAGAACTGGCAGGCTGAGGGTTCAAACCGAGAGCACTATGATAAATGAAGCCCATTAGAGAGCAGGACTCTCTAGCAGGAGGCTTAGAGTTCTGGGCTGTAGCCCAGAAAAGTATGGCAGCCGACCCAGACACTCAGCAAGTTAAAGGCTGAATGAAGACTAGACTGTGAGGTCTGGGTGTCCCAAGATGCTCAGGCCAGGGTTTTTTGCGAGCCAAGGCCACAGCGCTTCCCCACAGCCCAGCCAGTTAGCTGCCTTCTGTAAGATTTAAGAATGGAACTATCAGTTTAAGAGATGAAGGTAACATCTCCAACTGTAGCTCGTTTTATTTGTCAGATTTTAGGTATTTATTTTTAGAGAGAGGGGAAGGCACGGAGAACAAGAAGGGAGCGCTGATGTGTGAGAAAAAACACTGACTGGCCTCCCCGGACCTCACACACACCCCAACCAGGGACCAGGCTCACAACCCAGGCACGTGTCCTAACTGGAATTGAACCAGCAACCCTTTACCTTGCGGGAACGATGCCCAACCAACTGAGCCACACTGGCCAGGTCTCTAGGTCATGTTTTAAAAACCAGAATTGTTTGGGAGTTAATGGGAAACCTGAAATAATGGCATCTGCCCTTCAGACGTTTGCAGAGGACTCTGAAGTGGTCTCAAGTAAGTGACAAGAGAAGATGAGGTAGAGTGAACAAAGCACCCAAAGCAGAGCAGGTCTCAAGGATAATTTACATTTATTTGCTGATGACTCTGACTAAACATACTTCAAACACAGCAGAAGTTAAAGAGTCTGTCTGGTGAAGCCATTTCACAACAACAGCTAAGAGCAGAGCGGTCCATGCAGCGTGATGTGAGTGAGCATCATCTCAGGCTGAGGCCCTGGCTCTGGGCAAACAGCTGGTGGGTGGACCTGGTCCTTCTGGCCTTCATGGGATCCTCTGAGGATCTAGTTCTCATACTTGTGCTTGATGTGTTTCCACAGCTTCTGCATTTTAAAAACAAGAGCCATAGACTTTTAGTTTGGCCTCTCATATTTTACAACTCTACTTCCACTACTCTGTTCTCTAAAACAAGCTTGAGAGAAACTCCTACCACATCCTGACAGTTGCAGCAGGCAAACTGGAAGCAACACCAGGCTTGCTGCACATTCCTAATGTTTATAAAACACTTTGATGCTCTCAGTCACCATGTGAAGTAAGTGGGAAGAAATAATACTATTTTTATAAAAAACTGAGGTACAGAGATTGAGGAATCGGCCCCAAAGCCCACAATTATGAAGGAACAGAGCCTGAAACATGGCTCATTTCTTCAACTCCCAAGTATCACTTACGAGGTTCTAAATGCACCGTCCCCAAATATTACACTTCACATTGAGCCATCCCTAATTTCTTCAGAGCTATGATCCTTGGGTCAGGAACTAGCTGGGGGTTCATTCCTAAATACACAGATGACAACATGCTCAGGTGCCTTTTGCAAACACTGGGAATGGGTAACTGCTGGCAGGAGGTGGAACCGTGGTAGCAGTTTTACAGGGCAGAAAGTTGCCCTGGCCACAGGAAGTACAGCATCAGTGAACAGAGCACGCCTGGGCTATAAGGCCAGACAGCTATGAATTAAAAACATGAGTGAATGCTGGGACAGGGCTATCTGCACAAGACCTGCCCTAGTGTGAGCCACAATGTAATGACCTAGAACATGTACAGCACTTAGCACCATGCCTGCCACACAATGAATCTAAAAGATGTTGGCTGTCCGGAGAATGTCTTTCCTGTTCCCCTTCTCTTCCGCCCAGTGGTGTTACCTTTGTCTTTCCTTCTCCTAAGCTCCCGAGGGCTTTTCTTTTGCTTCTGTAACCTGTTTCCTGAGCCTACACAGCCCAGCTGGCTCACTTCTACTACCTTTGTAACTTTCTAAATAAACTTTCTAATTTGAAAAAATAAACATAATGAAAAATGCTATTCTCTGCCTTATGCTTCCACTTTATCCTGAGAAATGCAACAAATTGCACTCATATTTTGAGTGATACCACCTAGCAGGCACTGTGGCATCTTGTTTATAGTTCAAATAATTCTCACAATAACTCCGAGGTAGTTACTGTTATCATTTGTTTCACAGAGAGAAATGAAGCTCAGAGATGTTAAGAAACCTGCCGAAATTTAACGTCACAGTTTTAAGTGACAAGGCCCAGTATTTCCACCCAGGGCTGATTTCACAGCCTCCACTCTTAACGATAATTAACACCACGCTGCCTGCGTGGTGAGCCTCGGTAACCGAAAGTGCTATCCGAGAAGGCTAAGGAGATGCCCTTTTAGCGATCGTCGGCCGCTCGAATCTGCCCTTGAAACCCTCAGAGGGGGCAGGAGGTGCGGGTTCCAGCCCTGACTTGCCATTGACTTTGTTTTCGCTTCTACAAATAAAATGAGTGCATGTGAAAGATAGCAATACTTAAAACCCCTGCAACGGGGGGGTCTATTGAATTCGTTTAACGTTTTAGGACTCACACCGAGCGGAAAAGACAGACGGCAGTCTACAGACAGAAGACGCCTAGGATTTACCCCTCTCCCTAGTAAGGGTACACTGATTCCCGCCCCACCTCCACTTCCACTGTCACCCCTCAGGTGTGCCCAAGGTCAGGGATGGCCTAGGCCCTCACCCCCTGGTTGATGTGTTCATAGATCGCGTCCGCGCCTTGATCGAAGGCGCGCTCGAAGAACAGGGCGCCCATGGCGATGGTAAGTGCGAAGGTGGAGGTTCTGCGGAATAGCAAAGAGTACAACCTCGCACTTAAAGTTGGTGCCGCCATGTTCCTCCGCTGCTGAAGTCGCCACACGGCGCCTGCGCTGCGGCCGACCCTGCTCTCCAAAGGCCCTCAATGTGAACTACTTTATGGGATATGTAGTCACTCTGAATTTTGGTGCTCGTTGTTTTGCATCACGGAGGTAACCGATGGCTTTCGCGGGGAAAAAAGTGTCATAAGAGTTAGATCAAGGCAGCTCAAATTGTCTTGTAAGACTTATACAAGTTTACTCCCCAATCATTTCTTGCTAATTGACTATCTCGAACTACAACACCCAGAAGCCCTCGCGCTACTTCCACCTCCCCTCGTCCCATCTCAGCTTTAATTCCCAAAGGTTTCTGGGAAGGAAGGCCTGAGACCCAAGGAAGGACTACGAATCCCAGCAAGCAGTTCGCGACGCAAGGACCCAGGAGGAGGAGCTCAAATCGTCGGTCCCGGCAGAACCAGGTACTTTCTTTGGCCAGACGTGGAGTGTCGAGTGTTAGACTCCTCTCCATCACTGGAAGAGTTGAGCTCTTTTTCTAAGTTGGCGCTCCTCGCGGCGGGCCGCACTATTTAATGGGATGGGAGTGGCTAGTGCAGCGATGGGTCCTGGTGTCTGGGTCCCGAGCTCATCTCTCTCCCTGTTTCCCCTGTCAATCCCAACTTCAGGGCTAAAGCTGGATCCTGTGACAGAAGTCGGGTCCTGGGGGCGCTTAACCCCTTTGCCTGGCTTAAGAAGGGGCGGTCCTGCCCGTTTGTCTTACATCCCTCATACCTAGGCTTTAAAGCTGAGACCCTGGCCTGCTAGGCAGGCGAACTGACACCATCATTCCTAATTTAAAAAAGAAAGAGCAAGGGCTTTGGAGTGCTAGAGCCGTTTAACAAATGTTGTTTGCGCGCCTTCTCTCGACCATGCGCTGGGGACTTAGCAGTAAACAAGTCCCTGCTCCTGGAGTATTCATTCTGCTAGGTGTGGATGGATGGGGAGGAGCAGTGACTACAAACAAGCAATGCTTTAAAGAGGAGAAGACAGGTTGATTGGGGAGGGGGTGATGGTGCCATTTTAGCCAAGGTGCCTGGGGTGACACTTAACCAGAGACCCGAATGAAGAGAAGCAGGTCAGACAAGGAAAACCTCGGTGCATAGGCCTTGAGGCTGCTGCAGTCCTGGGTTGTCTGAGGGAAAGAAGTAGAGCAGGCTATGACAGGTGGGCTGTAGTCAGCGCATATATGGCCTTATACCCTATCGTAAGGAGCCTTGTTTTTTCTAATTGCACTAGGAAGCCACTGAGGGGTTTTAGGCTGGGTTGTGACATGCTCTCATTTACATTTTATTGTCATCATTGTGGCTGCTCTCTGGAGAAGGGACTGAAGAAGGGAAGTTATTGTGGTGGGTCAATTGATGAAGGATAGTTAATTAGATTAGGGTTTTGATTAGAGTAGTGATCAGATTTTCCTCCTCATTGCTTAGTTGTATAATTTATATTTTACCTTTGTATTTGAGGGGAAATGTTAACTTTTAGAAGTGGGCTATGTTAAATAATTGGTTCTTCTTGTATATGTTGTTCTTAATGCTTCTCAAAGCATTAAGAAAATGCTTTGAGAAAGAAGGCAAAATACTTGTGAAAATGAGAAATGTATATGTGGTATGTTGAGGGGAGGGATGTCCTTATTTTGAATGTATTTTACATATAAAATTCTATTTTGCTCTATTCCATTTCCTTCCCTGCTTCCACTTATGGCTCCTTTGTCACCATTCTTTGCCTATCAAACTTGTGGCGTTTGCTTTTTTTTTCCCCCTCTCCTTACCACAGGATAAGCAAATCTCAATCTGAAAGGCAGTAGATGAGCAAAGAAAGCAGCCAAATCAGGCAGCACTTGTCTGCTGTGGCCCCACAAGGACCTATGGCCTGTGTTCTGCAGGCAGTTAGTTCCAAAATGTGCCTGTGGTCCCCTCCATCACAATGGCTAATTCACTCAGTTACTTCCGGCCACAGTCAGATTTGGGAGGTATTTGGGGTGGTAGGACAGACAGCACAAGCTGACAGATGCATGTAGAGTGTTCAGGAAAAAGGAATCAAACACTAAGTTTTGATCTCAACCGTTTAAAAATCGATGGGGATGATCTCAAGCTCTGTCTGGCCATGTTAAATTTGAGCTGTCTCTTAGACATCAAGTGGAGATGTCTGCGGGCAGATGGGGATTTGGAACTGATTTTCCCAGGAGAGGCCTGGGCCACAGATAAAACCCATTGGCACAGGTGTGGCATCGGGAACCAGGGACTGGATTCAAGGCCCGGATCTGCCTCTGACTTGTAAAACTAGTGGTAATTGGGGGACTGGGGAGAAAAAAGTGAAATGCTATACATCCACAATGAGTTCTCTTTCTATGGTTATTTTCTGTTAGCAAAGCATCCTAGTAGCCCCTTGGGACAGGAAGTTGTGAAGATTCTGGGAAACAATACTTACATCTTGCTAACAACAAATCTGGCTGATGGGAATTTCAGAGGAGGGAGAAATTATTTTAGGTGGGATGGGTGAAGAAGACCACAGACAGTAACACTGTGGCTTGTTTTATTTGATTTTATTTTTTGTCTTTTTAGTTAATTCTCTTTGGAGCAACAGTTTTTAAAATCCGAATTTTCTATAAGCCATCAAATTCAACTTAGAAGTTATTATTCTATACATAAACCTAGAAAAATGAGAAAAATGACCTAGACTTTTCCTTTGATTAATGTTGAACAAACTGAATTCCTTTAAACACTCAGCCCTATTTACAGCCTAATTGCTTTCCCTTACACATTTAATTCCACTTATAAATGCAATATATTTTGTTTTCTTTTTAAGTACTTCAGATACATAACATAGCAAACACAATTACCGCAGGATACTTAAACAGTTACTAGAATACCTAATAAATTAAACCTATAAATGGTGCATTTTAAGTTCTTATAAACAGTTCAGTACCTTTTTATTTTTTAATATTTTTATATATATTTATTGGTTCTAGAGGGAGAGAGAAGAGAAACATCAGTGTGAGAGAGAAACATTCATTGGTTGCCTCCTGTACGTGTCCCGACTGGGAGTCAAACCCCCATGCTAGGTCTGTGCCCTGACCGAGGATCGAATCCACAACCTTTCAGTGCACGGGATGACGCTCCAGTCAACTGAGCCACACCTCTGGGCGCACACAGTTTGGTGCATTTAGTGGACAGTCAAATTCTCTTATGTTACTGTTTCTCAGCCTGGGAAGCTAAAAAAAAATACATATCTGACATGAAATTAGGACATGGGGGGGGGCACCTTTAGTATTTTTAGAGCCCCCCAGGTAATCCTGATAGGTAGCTAGTGTTTCCAACCACTGATAACCCCTCAGTGTAAAATCCCGAGTGTAATATCAATTACTCACCTATTTTATCAATTGCCTAGCTGTATATTTTAACTTTTATATTTTACATTGGGATCACAGTGCTTATGTGTCATATACTCAACATGTCAAATTCTTTTCAATGTCACTGACACTTTTAAATACCAAGCATCCACGGACTATTACTAAATTCAGGACAGGAACATAAATACAGAGTGGGGGGCAGAATAGATTTACAGTTATGAGTATGCAAAGCACAGAATTTATTCTTGTATGTTACTTAGTAATTATTGTATTATTTTCCACATGAACAGCTGTAAACCTGCTTTTGCTCCACCCTGTACAATGAGTTTGATTTATGCTATACTACCTCTATTTTCAGTTCTAAATTGTCCTGAAGTGTGACAGGACACAGAGCTAGTAAGAAAACAGTTTTATTTACTCCATTGAATTATGTTTAGCATGCCAGTCAAGTTGGGGTTACCATGTCAGCAAGGTGACCAGTTTCGGACCAGGACACAAATCCGGGGCTGTGTCTACCCAGAGTCACTGTCCCTAGCGGAGGCCGCCTTCAGATGCAGGGAATGGAGAGGTCAGTGAGCAGAAGCTCGTCCCCCCACGCTTTGGTTTCTTAGCAGGTACCTACAGACAGGTGCTAGACTCACTGGTTAAAATGCAGGTTTCTGCCCTCCCTCCAGATGTGTTGGGTCAGAATTCTGGAGAGCTTCTAGGAGACTTCATTTTTAATAAGCTTTGCAGAGGGAGCCATGGAAAATTTTGAGCCGGAGTTGTTTTAAGAAGGTTGGTCTGATGATGCCCAGGGTGGGTAAACTGGTGGGGGAGGGGCGGGGGAGGTTAGTCCAGGTGCAAGAAGAAGAGACCTGATTGGGCAGCAATGATGGTGGCAACAGAGGATCAGGTGGTATTTGGAGCCAGACTCAGGAGGAGAAGAGGGAGGCACAGGCGGTTCTGAGTCTGGGTATCTGGTTCACGAGCCTCCTTCAGACTATTTTTACTTTTCCTATTTGGAAACTCTAGCCTCCTGGGACCTGTAACTATCTGATGAGAAACTGTGTCTCTAGCCTGCAGCTCCCCGGAGCCCAGTTTGGGTTCAGCTGACCTTCACTGGGCCAGGTCTGCTTCGAATCAGGGCGTACCCTACCAGCCTGCAGCCGGGGACCCAGGAAATGTCTGCCTTAGATCCCTTTCGAGGGTCGTCCTGGTGAGCCAGGCCACTGGAGCCATCCGTGCTGTCTCCTAAGGAAGAAGGAATAGTTTCCCGCCTTTTAAGGGAATTTTGGGGAGTAATTTAAAAACACGCTAAAGGCAGAAAAATAGAAAAACATAAAATGGAAAAATCACCTTACACGTAACCCTGTTACCCGGACACAACCACAGCAAATACTTTGTGTCTGCTCCAGTCTTTTTATGCGTGTGTGTTGAGGCTCAGAGGTTAAGTGGCTTCTTTGCTGAGAGTTTCACAGCTCGAGACTGGCGGGATGGGATTCAGACCTAGTTGAACGGTTAGCGTAGGGATTGGCTTGGACGATCTCTCTGACATTGCACCAGCTCTCCCCCTCTCTGTCCTCCAGTCCATCGTCTGTTGCCTTAGACCAGCATTTCTCTCAGTGGGGCCTGTGGTCCCTGCAGCAGAGCCTCCCTGGACCCTGGCCCTCTCCCAGGCCTGCTGAGTTATCAGTTGCTCTGCGTGGGCCCCCAACTGTCTGATACCCCTGGGAGAAAAACCTACCCCTCTACAAAAAAAAAGTGCCATTATATTATACATACTGTTGTGGTAACGAATCATTTTTATTTAGCAATATGGAGTGAACATTTGTCCGTATGAAGGAATCATTTCCTTTGTCTTGATTTTTAACGGCTGTGTGGTACTCCATCAACCAGATGTAGCTTGTGCCCTCCTCCCGCATCTGGCCGGCTGTGGGCTCCGTCTGCCCACAATTCTGTTTTCTGAGGGTAAGATGAGGACAAGAGGCTTTGTGCGTCATGTCGCTGAGCCTCTGGCCCCACCCACTCTGCTCGGGCCTCCAGGCAGCCTGCTGTGTGTGTGGTGAGCACTGCCTCACTGTCGGTTGTTCTTAC